AAATTAGTGGACTGCACTTCAACTTTTTCTATTAAAGAAAAATTCACAAATAAGATCCAATCACTAGAAAAACACTAACAACATTTAAAACGGACAAGAACAACACAGATTAATAGTTATAATTTGAAATTGGTAAACAGATACTATTTGTGAGTATTATTTCACTCCTTGAAATGTTGCAGACCTTGTGTCCATAAATTATATTGCATGGGAAAAAATACTAGTTGATTTAAACTCTTCCATTGTTATTATTTTTAAATATTGAAATGTAAACATAATACCCAACTTCTATTTGGTAATTAATTATATTACTCAGTTAATTTTAACAGCAGCTATTTAAGAACCATCGATCAGATAGATAAAAATCAAAAATTAAAATTCATTCTTAATTATTTCCCTTCGGGATTTTTTGTTACTCTTCTCCAAAAGTCCATCTAGACTGCTAACAGTCTTTTCAGGTGCCTTTCATTGATGACCAATGTCTTCGAGGCATGTGTCATTATAGACTCGAATATATCCTAGCATATTAGCCTCTTTTTATTGGGCTGTATAATCGAAACATAAAGGATACCGTATAGTATTGCCGTGACTTTTCATCCTTCACCAATTCTCCTGTCAATATCCTTAGTAGTTTATTAAATACTGATCCTAGGTATTTAAATTTCTCTACTGTTTTTATACCTTTTTCAATTGGCATGTCATCGGATCAATGCCAAGGTGCTCTGGTTTCTTAATGTTAATGCTTAGTCCCTATTTTTCATATCTTTCGGCAACCTTTCTGAACACCTTATGATGTCCTCTCTATTCTTTCCTATTCCTAGTATTGTTGTACTGAAAATTGTATGTATTTAGTAAAACTTTTCTTTATTAATGTAGTATTTTCATCAGAAAAGTTAGATTTACATGTTGGTTATTTTCTGACCTCCAGCCAGAATAATTTTATTCTTTGAATCTATATATGTCTTATCAAATGTAATCTCTATTGATTCCAGATGTAGCACATATATTTTTTTTAAAGCAATCTTTTTTGTTTTCTAAAATAAATGGTATTATATTTCAGATTGAAACAGAGATGAGGCTGATTCCTCAAAACCACTGCTTGCGCTTTAGAAAATTCGATCTGATTAAACGATGCCGACGCTACAGGGTGCGGAGGCATCGCTAATGATTGATAGGATGAACCTAAAGAAATGGGATCTCAGTCAGGGTACTTGGCTAAATTGTAGAGGGACCATGTAGCTACCCTAACCATATACATGGAAGGAATGAATAGCTCTTCAACTTCCGATAGCTCTACCTAGATGATATATACATATATTAATGTTCATACCTCATATGGAATAGCTGCTGAGGAGGATAAGAACTGATAGGAGTTAAAAACTTAACCAAACAAGAATAGTTACGTGTACTATTAACTAACGGCATTCATAACTGGCAAGGTTCTTAATATTTTACAGCATACACTAACAAATAAAAACATAATAAAACATTAAATTTTTTAATAAGGGTTAGTACTAATTGACTGTACAGTTCCAAAAAACATGAATTAAAAATGATATTTCTTAATTATAAATATTCACGACAATATTAAATATTTCTTTCACAAATATTAAATTTAAATAAATGCAGCTTCTTCAGTAATTTTTGTTATTTTCAAAAATTAAAGATTTCTAAATTTTCAAGTGATTGATACAGCTAACATTACATACAGTAGACTCCATATAATTAACTTTTGTTTGCATGTTTTTGTCTCAAGGAATATATAAAATACACAATTTGACAAGTTGAGTAAACATTTAATAATTGTTTCTCATCAAACCTATGCACAGTCTGCAAGAAATAGTACTTAATTTATAAAAATTAAATCAACCGTTAAGCTAGGTTTGAAAAGATTGATATCGTTGGTTTAAAGTTAATACAGTTCATTCACTAATGCCGCTGAAACATTTCCCCCCACCAATCAAGCTTGGCCACTTTACACACTCATCTGCCTACGTCCTTCAGTTCAGACTTTTATTGTCTCTTAATTCTTCATTGCAATTTGAATGACATTTAGTAGAAGGAAAATAAGCCACAAAATATACAAAAATGATATTGAAATGGTTTTGGATGAGATTGGGATTCACAATTTTAAACAGAACATAACCATTTCTCGGTTCAGGTATCATCAATAAAAATCAAATTTGAATGAAATAAAATTATAATACTGGAAATAGAATGTGATGTTTATATTTTTAAAAAAATTTTATTTAAGAAACCAAACCAAAATTTCTATCAATCGCAAATTAACAAGAGTCTACTGTATCTATTTATGACATAAATAGAGCTATAAAAAAATTTAATACATATTTAAAAAAAAAATACTATATTGAAAGAATATGTTTTCACAGGCGATTTTAGTTCATTCTTTAATTTAATCGTATTATTTTATGATCCAACGAGGATAAAAGCACTTTTTAACAGATAACGTATGCATACTTTTAGATAGAACGATATGTTAAAATTATTTATATCTTTCATTCTTTATAAACTGCACAAATATCAAAGTTTTAATTAACATATTATAAAAAATCATAAAAGATGAGTATGAAAAACCATTGTTTTTCATGTGCCTTATTAAGAACTAATAAAATGTGATGAACAAAAAAGTGCTTTATCGGAGTAATAAAGGAAAACAGATAAACTATCCTACAAGATTTGAAAATTTTAAAATAAATTTATTCAAGTAACTATACTTACAAGCACATCTCTAATTTTAAAATTTAAAATTATTTAGAAATTTAAATAAATCGAAATTTCAGAAGCAATATAATACAAATACACAATATATATAAACATAAAACCCCAAAAATATTTTTAAAATAAAACATTAATGATAAACAGATAATTGAAGACAATAAAATGAATAGATATAATATTGGAACAAAAATTAAGATAAAGGCAAAATGATATGTGATAATAATGAGTCAAATAATAATACTCCAGATGATTTTCGTTACCATAATGCCAGACTGCAAAATATCGACTATTAAATTGTGCAAAGAACACGGAAGCAAAGAAGCCCAAGAATCATGCTTTATTTAAATCTATATTATTGATCTCTTTTAGATATATGACAATATATGTATGCTGATTGACTAATTATTTGTTATTTTAATGTTAACAAAAAAAAAAAATTTAAGTAAATTTATAACTATACATATGTATGTAAAACTTAGGATTAAGCATTTATACTTTTTATATATAACAATTGTTTAGTTATTTTTAATTTCTTGGTTTCATTACCTTAACTTAAATTGTTTTCATAAAATAAATTGTTTATAAATATTCCTAATTGTGTTATATAGGGAAAAGGTGCAGCAAATCTTAATCACAATATATCATGTGTGAAAGTAGTGCTGTAAAACTACAATCGATGAATTACCAGTTAGAAAATATTGACCAAATAAAATTACTATAGTAAAAAAAAAAAGATTGTTCTTTCAATTTATATTCACTACCAATTATCACTATGAACTGAGAAAGGTAGATTAAAATATTTAAATTATTTTAATACTTACGGTTCCTCACAGATTTAAGGTTCAGAAAACCAGATGCACGACTAATAACAGAAGCTCCTTCAGTACGTAAACAACAAAATTTTTATAGCGACTTAGGACAACCAAATATCAACTGACAAATACTTTTCAAGATTTCATATTAAATTACAGACACAATAGACTTATAAACAATGTGCCTTTATAATTGGGATGCCCATCAGGAGGCAACTGAAAAGGAGCTGGATTAGAGATCTCCTTTCCTGAATTAAGAAAGTAAATAAAGAACAGGAACAGGCTATGTCGGATCGGACATAGCTTCCATCTCAGCCATCGAGGACTTTTCTCTAAACTGTTGAAAACCTTAATGACATAGAACTTAGCAATGAAGTTTAGTTGAAATTCTCAAGTTGTAAATAGCAAAAAGTGTTCTTAATCAAATAGGGGACAAAGAAAAATGGTTATTTTTTAAAAGCATTTTCATTTAATTTTGGGAACCTACATCTTAAAACTTAAAATTGGGTGTAATTTATAAAAACCTTGTTTACTAATTTTCAAGGAAGAAATGAAATTAATTCAATATAAATAAAAAATTGTAATTCCATTTAATTTTGTGTAATATATTTGAATCATAATTATCCGAATCAATTATGACGGGATCGGATTTGAAAATGAGGAAATTTTGATAATTTTATATTTTTCATGAATCAAGAACAAACTTTGGTAGCAGAAAAAGAAATTAATAAAATTTAGAGTAATAGTTTATTTTATGAAGTATAAACACAAAAACAAAGTTATGTCTTCTCTTTACATATTTAGAAATGTATCGTGATGAAATATATATATATATATTATTATTAATAAGGAAAGAATAGTATTTAATTTAGCTCAAAACAGGTCAAGGATAATGTACTACAAAAAGAGATAACTTGTTTAAATGCAATCTACTCAATGGTACCTTGACTTAAAATTTTCCATTCCCCAAAAGCAATTTGTATAACTGAGATATCGATTAATTGGGATTCAGATGATTGAAGCTCTCCGGTATTTTAAAATTCATTTCGATTTTGGTATTGACAACATTTCTAAATTGTCTGATATTAAATGTAACACTTTTGAAATTTGGTAAATTTTGGAAATTATAAAGACTTGGATGGAACCATCCTTCTCAGTACTGTATATTACTGAAAACCCTTTTGAAACCCCCCCCCCCCATATAACAACCAAGTTAACCATAATCTCTCCCAACCATAATTAAAGGTTATTTCCATGAGGGATTGTTCTGTTATTATCAGAAAGTAGTGGACTCTATTTTATGCACAACTCTATAAGAAATGATCAACAAAAACAAAGTTTTAACGAACTTAAGCCAATGAGGCTAACCAACTTATTGAAAAATCAGATATGCTATTTAGCATCCAATATAGTTTATAAAATATTTATAAAATGAAGTTTGATAAATACCTGTGAGACAGCAGCACTACCAAGGATTCCATAACCGACATTTTGTTTGAGAGGCTTTGACCTTTTAACTTCTGATTCGACCTGAGCAGCTAAAAGATTGCTGAATGGTGTCCCATCAATGACATCTTGGGGAATCATCAGATAAAAGCTTTCTGCTGATTCAGTTTCACTCTCCATGCACAGCAACTCCTGTAAAAAATTAAATTTATTTAAACACATAATGACAATAAAGAATGAAAACTGATCATAAATTAAAGCTGAGAATCACAGAAAATTTAAATATTTCATCACTTCCGACTACCAGCCTCCCAAATAATTCAAGCTGTGCCAGATACAACGCCCTCATCAAGAACTACAAAGTGGGTTGAAACGTTGGGGTAAACAATAATATACTATATATAGTATATATATATATATATATATATATATATATATATATATATATATATATATATATATATATAATATATATATATATAATATATATATATATAATATATATATAATATATATAATATATATATATATATATATATATATATATATATATATATATATAATATATATATATATATATATATATATATATTATATATATATATATATATATATATATATATATATATATATATATAATATATATATATATATATAATATATATATAATATATATAGTATTTAGTTTGACTACATCCCAGACCAACTCCTTAAATATTTTGGAGTCACCAACAATATCATTGTGGTTAAACCCTAGAACGACACACTGGACTCACACCCCACAACATTTTCAATATTAATTTACTTTTATATAAGTTGCTCGTTGCCCAAGTTTTTTCATGTAAATAAACATTATACACAGCCAGCCTAATTGCGGTCATTAGCACTCCATTGTCGGTCTTATATCATTATCGGGAGTTATCGAAAGTCATTGTGGGATATCCCGCATTCCAGTGTGTTTTTTACGTGACTCTTCTGGGTGTCTCACATCCCAGTGTACTGTCTATGCAACTGTTCTGTGAATTTCGTTTTCCAGTGTTTTCTTTGTTATTTTGAAACTTCGAATACTTCAGATGTGGATTTCTAATATTATATTTGTTAATTAGTGGTATTTTCAATGCAGGCAGTAATGTTTAGAAACTATTTTTTTTTTTGTATGATAGCTACCAAAAAAATGTATTCTTCTTCTGCACAAATCCATAAATTGTTATGGGAACTAGAAGTTGAAGAAAAGATGCATGAAGCGTATTTAATAAAGATGGCACAGTAACTTTTGATCAAATGTGTCGTGTGCGTTAACAGCAAGAAAAAAAAGAAGGCTGTTTCTCCAATTTTTCTTTGGAATGTTGAACGATGCTGGTATAAACAGCATGATACTGTTCAGCTTAGTTAACTGGGAAAAGAAGATAAAATGTTGAAATTATTTATTTGGATTAGACTATTCATTAGTTGAGTCCTACTTGAAAAGAAGACTGCAAGTGGAGACACTCACATGAACAGTTACAACATAAAAGAAATTTTGGGAACGACTATGTTGGAAAAACTAGCCAAACATTTGCTTTGCACAAAAGGGAAAGATAATAAGACAAAAATGGTTAGTCAGCAATGTAAGAGACCTATCTGCAATGAACTGAACACAGGGTTCATTTCAGTTGCTTCAGGATTCATTGCTTGGTTGTGAGTGAGTGGTCACTTAAATGGCCCCCCACTATAGGTTTTAATATCTTTTTAAGTAAAAAAAAAAAAAAAAAATGTTTTCCTCTTTATTATATACATTATATATATATATATATATATATATATATATATATATCGATATAAACTTAATGTATTTTCAATAGAAAATTATTGATCCTTTTTTGATTTTTTAGCGATGTTGATGTTAAACTTTTACTTTACATTAGCATATAAAATATATTCTCTAAGATTGCCTTGAATTTATTTATTTGTTTGTTTTTCTATTTGTTTAGCTTATTTCTGAAAATTATATGAGTCTTCCAGAGCATGAAGATTTAATTTTATGATATTTTAAAGTTTGGGGTGTATCATACCCTAAAGTGTCAGAAAGAATTGGTGTATTTACCAAGAAAGACACACTTATATACGCCAACTCATTCTGACACTGTGGGGTGTGGTACACTCCAAACTTTAAATTTAATCTCATGCTCAGGAAAACTCAAATAGTTTTCGGAAATAAGATAATGATCAGGAAAGCAAACAAATAAATAAATTCAAGGTAACTGTAGATAATATATTTTATGTGTTCATATAAAGTAAAAAATTAACATCTGTATCACTAAAAAATCAAAAAAGGATCAATATTTTTCCTTTGAAAATGCATTAAGTTTATATCAATTAAATATACATATTTGAAATGAACAATTTATACATAATAGAGGGAAAACAAATTTTTACTTAAAAAGATAATAAAACCTAAAGGGGAGCCATTTAAGTAACCACTCACTCAAAATAATCCAAGCAAACTGTAGCCGTGTGTTCTTTGCAGATAGGCCGCTTCCATTGCTGACAAACCATTTTTGTCTTCTTATTTTTCCCTATCAACCAAAACGAATTTTTAGCTTATTTTTTCAACAGCAGTTGTTTATTTTTTAATTCCCAAAACTTTATTTATGTTGAAACTAACCGTTCGTGCGAGTGTCTCCACTTGCAGTCTTCCTTTCAAACAGAGCTCAAGTAACAAATAGCCTATTCCAAATAAATAATTTCTCCATCTTAATCCATCCATTGTTTCTCCATCTTCTTTTCCTAATTGACGAAGCATGATATTATGCTGCTTATATCAGTATCGTTTAACATTCCAAAAAAAAAAAAAAAATGGAGAGACACTTCCTTGTTTTTTTTGCTGTAGTGAACACATGACACATTTGTTTAAAATTTACTGTGCTGCCTTTATTTAACATGCTCCTTGCATCTTTTCTTTATCTTCTAATTCCCATAACAATTTATGGATTTCTTCAGGAAAAGAATAAATTTTTTTGGTAGTTGCCATACGAAAAAAAATAGTTTCTGTACATTAATTTAATTGAAATTGAAAATAACACAAATTAAAAAATAGAACATTAGAAATCCATACCTGAATTCTTTGAAGTTTCAAAATAACAAAGAAAACAGTGGGATGCGAGATTCACAGAACAGTTACATAGACTGCACACTGGGGTGAGGCACCCAGGAAAGTCACGTAAACAACACACTGGGGTATGGAATACCCCATAATGACTTTCGATAACTACAAATAATGATATAAGCCCAAAAATGGAGTGCTAATGCTAAAGTAGCCTAGCTATGTATGGTGTTTATTTACATGAAAAACCTTGGCCAAAGAGCTATTCATATAAAAATATTAATATTTAAAATGTTGTGGGGTTTGTCATTCTAGAGTTAATTATTAATTTATTTTAAAACAATACTATAAAAATTGCTCTACAGTAAACTTTAAATGAAAGTAGAGGTTGCCATTGTTAAGGCCATTTAAAGGGAACTTTTTTGCAGCTAACTTAACTAATTTATATTTATTATAATACAGCCCAGGTAATGCAAAAAGAGATTTTTTCTGAAACCATGGAAACTTGCAGATGACTGGATATCAAATTACATCATTTTTTAACATATGTGGTGAATCTCAACTTAATTTATATTTGAATATGTTACATACAAACACACGAACGTAAACAGGGTTCACTGTAAGTAGAGGGAAATATTTATAGGAGTAATAGCAGACCTCCTCATGGTCCCATTTTTGTCAGAAAAGTAAGAAATTTGAGTATTGCGTTTTATTAAGTGTCACGTTTTTGTTGAGTAGGGAATAATAACTAAAATAATATTTAATTTTAAGTATTCAACAATTGCTTCATTGTAAATTAAACAAAGTTTACTTCAAATGGAAGGACAATTAGTCATTGCTAAAATCATTTAAAGAGGACCTTTGAGCAGCTAAACTAAGTTATATTATGTATTTTAAACATCACAAATTATTCACGATATTTTTATCATCCTACATCTATAATACAGATTACAATGAGATGAAACTGTTTATCAAGTTTTAGGCAGATGTTAATAATTTTAGAAAAAAAGGTCTGGACTACAGACTAGTATTCTTATTAAATGCGATTTTGGTAGCTTCTTAACAAGGGTATTTGTTTTGTTTATAAGTAATAATATATAATAATAGCTAATTTAACTTAAAATATCTGGAAAAATAGATAAAATAACCATTGCCAAAGAAGAAAAGATTACATTTGGACTTCAATTGCCTTTTCTCTGAATAAAAAGAGGCAAAAATACTATTATTAAGCGATAGTGTGTAAATAAATAAGGTTTAAAAACATGCCATATTACTCTTATAAGAAATATAGTTGGCTTTTTTTTGTAAGTTATTCATGAATAACAATACACTAAAAACAAAACAAAAAAACTTCACCATATTTTGTTTTATTTATTATTTAGTATTAAATATTCTTAATTACATTCTCCTATTGAAGCCTACATTGTCCAGGGTATAATCACATAAGCAAATAATCATGAAAATGTTCTATCTTAAATCTATAACATGAACAATAAAACTAAAAAATACCTGATTATTGTTTATATAAAATAACTGGGAGTTTTGCATCCAGGATGGCACATTAGACAGATGTCTTTGTCTAGGAACAAAGAGAGCAGACAATGCTAGACCATTACGATCACAAACCCTTTTCTTATTGTAGATAACTTCAGGCGATTTAGGTTTAAATATGAACACTGAAACAATGTTTTATAAGATATGTAAAAAAATAAATTAAACAAGTTTATATATAAACATATAACTTTTAAATATTGTATTAAATGTAATTTAACATTAAGTAATTCTCATGTGTTAATACTTGATAGAAAAAATACATAATATATGTTGTAAAGATAACAAGTTAAAGTAACTTGCAAGTTGTCAAAGACAAGTAGTAAATAATTTGCTGGAGAGTTACATAGAATTCAATTATTCAAGTTTCCCTTAGAGTCCCCAAAAAATAAATCAAATACATTTTTGACAAGACTAATAAATATCACTAGTATCAAATAATGCACCTTCATTGTTTTTAGTGAACACAGCAAAGTGTGATGATGACACATCTTGAACTAGCAGCAATACATTCATCGATAGTTTCCATGATAACTCAAGTGTCATTAAATTCCAAACACAGATTTCATCTTCTGTTGCACAAACTATTTCACAGAAACTTTCAAATTGACCAAATTCCACGAACCTAAAAGACAAAAAAAAAAACTTAAATAAATGCAGAGTAAAATAATTTTATTCAGAATGAGAAATAATAGTTAAAAAATGTACTAAAAATTTTTTAGTAGATAAATCTCAACTAATAATTAATATACCACCTTGATACCTCTACCATTAATTGATGGTATTGGCAAGTATTTGTTACTGGTAAAAATTAAGAAGTAAATTTGAATTTTGTATTTAATCTTCTACAATTAAAAAAATATATTTCACTTAATTACAATTTAAAATGATCGATGGATTCTCATCATTGAATCATATATTATTATTATTATTATAAAAAATATAATAATAATAATAATATTATTATTATATTATAAAAAATATATTAAATAAATCACCTAATATGTTTATCTCTAGACGGTGTATTAAGTGATGCGGTAACTTTTAATTCAGTCAAGTCCCAAAGCACTAAAGAAGCTTCAAAACCGACTCCGATAATAGTCCCATCTTCAGAAAAACTAAGTGGGCCACAATCCTTTTGTCGGTAGAAGCAGGCATTTTCACAGCCCCAAACAACACCTTTTCCTAAAAAAAAAGAAAAAGTGATAATTTATAAAAGAAAATTAATAATACTAAAAATAAATAAGATATAAATAATACTAACGATAAATGCTATCAATTTCATTTGGGGTCCATATTCTGAATTTAGCATCACTACCTGTAGTGACCAGCATGTAGTTAACAGATGTCGGATTAGACATTGATAAAGACTTAGAGCCTGGACGAAACCTAAAATTATGTGCTTTTCCATTGTGTGGACCTTCAATTGACGAATTTAAACAAAAACTAAAAAAAATAAAAATATATATGTTTACTTATGATTCAATATTTTTTATAAAATAAATAAATAAAATTTCCTAAAAATACAAACCATTTTTTATCCACATTGTACTCCCAGAATTTAAGTCTCTGTTCAAGCCTAACAGCGGGATCCTCTCGAGTCTCTAAAGTAGCAAGCCAAGCACCATCACTTGAAATGCAAGCACCAGTGACTTCAGTGTTATATATAACTTTATTTCGTTCTTGAGTTAAATAATTACGAAGGGTAACATCAAGCTAAAATTGAAAAATGGTATAATTAAGTTGGATAAATATGAAAATTTTCAAGACACAGCATTTGCAAATCTAAATCTAAAATACTTCCTTACAGTAGCGAATCCAGAATTTAATTTTGGGGGAGGGGAAGAGAGAAAGCTTAAGCCCAAAAGCTTTATATATATATACCCATAAGCTTTCTCTCCTATATATATATATATATATATATATATATATATATATATATACTGGCTTAGTATATATATTTAATAATTATCTTGGAAGAAAAAGAAAGAAACTAATTACTATATTAAATGAAGTCTAAGTGATTCTCACAATTGTTTCAATTCTTGAAAATATGATTACACAAATAATATTTTAGAAATAATTTTATAATATGACATGGTCATATTTTTCCATTTTGAGGATAGCTTCAGCCCGAAAGCCTCCTCTTTTCCAAATTATTTTTAGAAAAATTTCAGATCATTGAACAATTTGAAATATACATATGTAATAAATTAGTGTTTATGCTTATAACAAAGACAAAATACTTTATTTGCTTGTATATATTTTACAATGGATGGATAAAATGTATTCTCTTTTATACTGAAGGTAAAGTATTGGTTTCAGACGAAAAACAATCAAATGTAATTAACAATCATTTCACATTGGTACAATTTTTAACTTTTTAAATGTTGTAATCCATAATACCAGAGGGGATATAAACTTTTTTTATAAATTTTGATAATATTTAAGGTTGTAAGAAATCTAACGAAAACCTTTAAACAGCCACTCTTTGGTGTACAAATAAAAATACCAAAGCAATTTTTTCTTAGTATGAAAACAACAATAAATAGCCTTTATAGACATGGAACTGATTTCTTAATAAATGGCTTCAAGAATTAAATTTAAAAAAAATAAATAATTACTATAAAAATAAAATAAAAGTGTTTTTAAAAAAATCTATGATCACACCGCACTATATTTGACGTATTATATGTATACTTGTATGTATTTAACATTGTTATGCAAACTTTTCATTTCAAACAGTGATTCTGAATCATATATTAGCCCTTGCCTACCTAAACCTATAAAATTTCCTGACAGCAGGTGTTTCATCATGAAATTTTCTGACTTTTCCATGTATTTTCAGTTCGATGAATGCCAGTTAGTTGGACTTACCCAAAAATAATTTATTATAAGTTAATAAGTTGATATGTATCTCTTAGGTATCATAAACTATTAAAATAACACCACAAACAGAGGTTAAATTAACTAAAACTATTAAACGCTTACATTAAATAAGAATGATTCGGTTGATGGTGAGTAAAACTGCAGATGCCCTGGTCTTCCATTTAGTACAACTCCTCTAGTTCTAGGATCAAAACTGAGTCCTGCAGGAAAGAGCGGAGCAGAAGGTGTAGAAAGTACACCCCATGAAAGTTCCTGAAGAACACATATCAACCTGCTCTGTGTATCAATCACTTTCACACCTGAAAATATTGAAGGCGTGATGTTTATAACTAGAAGAAATAGAGTCAATAACTGCACTAAATTAATTTAATCTCACTATTGTCTAATGTTGCAATTGCTACATATTCAAAGTTTTTAGAAATTTCGATAAAAGTAATTTCAGCAGAGAGACGAGGAAGATAATTTCGTGCTTGAGGATTTTCTAAATTCCATTTCACTAGGACATTTTCACCGCCTCCAGTATACATAAGTGATCCTAATGACAAAATAGAAAAAAAAAAGTAAATAAAAGCCAACTACTCACAAAAGGTAAATTACTAATTTATTTTAGATAAAATTACCTGCAGGCGTCAGGGCTATATCTCTACAAGGAAGTGTGTGCCAATGGTAAACTGCTTGGGGACTTTTTCTTCCTTTCCTTAATGGTGCTCGAAAAAGAACTACCCGACCAGTAGTATCCCCAGCAGCAACAGGGTAATCAGAGCTGTGCACCCTCACACATGTCCAACTCCTATTTTCTCCAGGATTGATACTGAAACAACAAATAATTAGAATGTTGTAAAATCTCAATAGTTAATATTTAAATGTACAAAGCAAAATTTAAATGGAGAATAAAACAAAATGAATGCAGTATATTCTAAGCATTTAAAAAATTCCATTATTTTGCTTTTAATTGTTATGATAAAATTCAACTTAAATTAACTCTTTGGTTACATGTGTGGGAATACATGTGTATCCTGAAGGGATATATGCCTTCCCGGTAGTGAGTTAGGTTACTGATGCCGCCGGGATATATGGACATATGCCTTCCCGTCCGGACGGTAGTACTTGAATAGGTAGGGCCAAGTCCCGCCTTCACCATTTAACTTGTGGCTTGGTCGGATCAGTACATTCATTAGTCCTCTGCAGCTAACTCAGTGCAGTTGTTCCGAATTCTGACCATTTGGAAACTATCAGTTGCAGATTTATTCCGAAGCCCAAGGTATGTCCTTTCTCTGTTATTTGAGTCATATATATAGTATTATTTATATTTTATGCATAAAATAAATGCTAATAAGTTAATTTTATAATTTTTTTTTTTAATTATGGTTTTGACTGAATGCTGATTTTGCTACATGTGCATCTCTGTCTACTAAACAAATAAATGTAAGTTTCCTACAATTTATATGCATATATATATATATATATATATATATATATGATTAAATTAAAATATAAAAAATATAATAACAAAGATTAATAAATGTAAAAATATACAGAATTAAAATGATGATTTAGTGGTTTTATCATTATTCCATTCATCTAAAAATAATATATATATATTTCATATAGTGTTTGAAAGTCAAAATAAAAATGTGTAATAATAAAATTTATAACTGCGCTATTTTCAACATTTTTAGGTCAGAAAAAAATGTGTAAATACAAAGAAATATATAATTCAAATCCCACCGTCAGTGTCCTTTTTTTAGAAATAATTTTGATTTTTATTACCACTTTCAGTTATCTTGTTTTTCAGAAATGAGCAAATATGCAAGAAAACGAAGTGTTGTGGGATTACCGCTCTAATTTTGCATTGCTATGTGAGGGCGGGAAGGCATATATCCCGTTTTTTGAAAGTTGAATAAAAACGTTAAAATGCATTTTTGTAAGCTAAGATCTTGCAGGATCAAAATAGCATTTTAAACAAATTTATGCAAAAAAATCTGTTCTTTTGGAGGTCTTTCTCGATTTCAGGATGCAACATATGGTAGAAACTCGCGAATGAGCTCCTACATTCAAAGGGTTAACTTAAAACTGAAATTAGAAAATCAACAGGAATGAACGAAGAAAAAATATATGTTATATATATACAGGACAACCCAACAGGAAATGTAAGTAGTTGAGGGTGCTATAGTCTATCAAAAATGTAATTAAGTGCTGCCAACCGATGTTTCCTATTCCAAACATTGTTGAAATGTGATATTTCACAGGAGTTTCCAAGGAAAAAAAATTTTCTTCCCACAAAAACTTCAATTTCTGTTATGCAACCGAACATTTCACAATTTTTGTCAACATTTTCTATCGAATAGAATCTAAAATAAATGTACAATAAAACGAAAATCAGTTGTATGAAAATATAGCATTGTAAGGCTATTATAGTATCCAAAGCAAAGTAAATAATTAAAAATGAATAATTTTCAGAAATACTCATTAGAATGTCACAGAATTAAGTTATGACATAAAACTTTGGGGATTTAAAGTGCCATCTAATAACAAATGTAATTTAGAATTTGAAATTGGTGACAAAAGTTGAGAAATATTCACTTACATTAGAGAAATTTGTTTTGTAAGAGGAGAAAAAAAAGAATTTTCTAGGGAAAATTTTTGAAAAATAATACCTCAACAATCAATAGATATAAGTAGATGCGGTAAGAATTAAATTGTTTCTAAAATATCACTCCTACACAAACAAACACCCATACAAGTGCTCACATACAGACCAAATGTTTTTTGTTTTAAACATAGTCTATTCAAGTTATCAGTAAGATTTGCAAATTAGGAGCTCACCGTAGTGAGTAGCGATATGGAAAACATTTTTCAGGATTTTTCTTCATGGCCATTTCGGTGTTCTACATAAATTTCGGATGTTATTCAATCAATTTTGCCTTCCATAATATTCTTAATGTGAGATTTTTGCTTAATAATGGGACACCTCAAAAACGTTGAAATGATTGCGAATTTTAATTATTGGAAATTTTTCACTTAATGTGCTTATAGATCACAAATATTGCAAATCATTTGCAGTCAAATAACACATTAAGTGAAAATAAAGTAGCAAATCAAAGTTAAAATCATTTCAATCTAGTACAAACATCTTTTTTTGGAGATGTACCATTATTTGAACTGCAAGGCCATTAGTTTTAAAAATTTTAAACTGAGATCTATCCTCTAATCATAAATATTATGTATATCAATAAAACAAATATTTTAATGGTAAATGATAAAATAAATTTTAAAATTTAACTAACCCAATAATTTGAGATTTTCCGTTCAAGGAAAAAATATTCAATCCGCGAGTAGATATTGCAGCAATAATTTTATTCTCTTCAGGGCCACCAAAAGAGATTCCCTGTTTTATATCGACATCACTTACTCTGAAATATTAAATAAAATTGACAAATACATAAATGGGAGACTATTCAAATAATTAGAATTGAATTTATAAATATATCATATTATATACGTACACAGTTTTATCCAATGGATGCTGTATTCTTTCTTTTGCACTTAAGTCAAAAAAATTAAGTTGTAATTCAGACTCAGTCTGGTCAAATGTTATAATGCAAAGATCTAAAATATCTGAACTAAGGAGGTTAGGAACAAGAAATGCATTTGTAGCTACACTTCCTTTTCCTATATCAAAATGCTGGAAAAAAAAAAAAAAATAAACCATTGTAACAAGCTATTTAACATAAATTTATAAAATAATGGAAATAAAATTGGTTACCTGTTTCCTCAAATTTTTTCCTGTTTTAATTTCCCATGATAAAAACGTGCCATTTGAAGTTACAGCAGATGGCTGGTCTTCATACAAAAATATGCTTACAACCGACTCCTTTTTGGTTCCAGCATCACAGGTTCTGACACATTCTCCAGTCTTAACACTAAATATTCGTACACCCCAACCACAATTTAGAAAGACGTAGCTGTAAAATAAACAAAATAAAATAAGAAATAATAGTGATAAAAGAATTCACTATCCAAGTTTTTAAAGAATCTCAGAAACTGAAATAAATAAATATTAAAATCAAGAATTAGAAGCTAATTCAACTCACCACATAAATAAACAATTATCTTTTTACATAAGTTATAGTTTTATAATAATTATATTTTTATATTTATAATTATATGTGTTATAATTTAGTCGATCAGTTCTCATATCTTTTAAGTATTTACCATAAAGATTTTAAAATTTCTTTAACAAAAATCTATTACCTATTATATATAATACACTAGATCCATAAATCCATTTTCTGTGATGGTTTTTGTCAAATCCAGTTTCAAAAAGGGAAATTTGGAGATGATGAATTTCAATATTGATCTTTATATTCATACTATGAATTCAGTAAAAATTATTGAAAACCCAAACAACTCAAAACTTTAAACAGTGGTAAGTCGACATATTGAGGTGGGACATCATGCATTAAAAATTCCAAATCAAATATCAAAAGCCAATAAAATTCCTTTGGAATGTATCAGGCTTTCATTTTAAACCTTAAAATTTACCATTTTTGGGATAAAGAGTGGGTCCAGACCAATTCTAGTTTCTTAGATGTTATGGGAAGCTTGTTACATATCATTAAGGTTTTTAAAAATCAAAATATTGTAATTAATTATAGTCTATAGTAAATATCTATTGACAAGGAGGATAGCTCTGAGATCTATATATATATCGGATAATATAGAAAGATAGAAAATCCAGTATTTCAAATGGTGCTACTAACGATGAATGGCCAGAGCTCTCATTATATTGTAAGGATTAGAACTAATGCTAATAATAATTTCATGACTAAAATAAGAGCTGATCAGGTGGGTACGATAATGTTTTAGATGTACAAAGCATTTTCTTAATGGCATCAAATTTTAAATATACATCAAGGTTCATTGAAATGTATTAACCGCCTTAATGAATAGTAACAACATTTCAAATAAATTACTTCTGATCAGGGAATGAAAATAAATGGTTCAAAAGGAGTGTAGAACAATACAGACTTCAATTTAAAATCTCAATCTCTAAGAACCAGCATGACAATTATATAACAGCAAACACACTTTTGAAAAACTCGCTTTCTGTCTGGTGTTGGTCAGGAACCCAGGAGGCAGTTAAGTCACTGCCTTCTCAGTTTAGTTCACTGTGTTTAGTTATAACTTCTCTGTACTGTATTATAATTCAGTTGACTATTGTACCTATGCTATTTATCTTGAACTATGGACACAAAGTGAAATAACTTTTTTGATTATATAGTGGTTCAGTAATATGAATGAATAACCTTACCCTTAGTTTCTATGAATTTATAATGGAATAAATTGTTTGGATTAATTGGAGTAAAAGTTTTTTTTAGTTGTTTTATTCAATTACTTTTCATGTAATCCCCATATCCTCATAAGTCACACACAAGAGGGATGAAAACAACAGTCATTACTCCATACATTCTTAGCATCCAAAGATATGGATGGAAAGTAACAAAACATGAGATTTAAAGTCAAATATCCCAAACATACTTCAGAAGACATGGAATATTGCTAAAGATGAGACAAAGTCAGTTTCCAAAAGAGAGAATCTTAGGGCTTACGACCATGTAGTGAGTGAACATGACAACAAAAAATATATTATCATAAGAGATGATTTAGTATGGATATTGCTGAAGATGAGACAAAGTCAGCTTCCAAAAGAGAAAATCTTAGGGCTTACGACCATGTAGTGAGTGAAACTGACAATAAAAAATATATTATCATAAGAGATGTTTTAGTATGGTTGGAATAATGTGCAAGAATTTGATGGTTTCTGTACCAACTATCTCAAAATTCGACCATAAATATTTGTTTTTTACAATTTATTTCATTATTACTAACTCTTAATCATATTTTCTAGTTTGTTAAATAACTTCTGGATATTTATCATATCCATATACAATACACATATATTCATAATCTAAATGGTTTGCAATGTTACTCTTACTCCAACTCTTATTACGGAGTTCAAAGTAAGAGAGAGTATAACATCATATGATCTCCAAACATTAGAAATGATTTTCATAATTTTTCTAGTTAAGACTGAAGATAAATGAGTAAGAAAATGTCATCAGTTTATTGCAAAATGTTACTGAGTGCATTTTTGATACAGGTTAACTTTCAAATATGTTTTGTAAATTTTAATCTTATTTATATATACAAAAGCATTGTAAGTGCATGGAAATGACAATTTTATGATTTCAAGTTCTCAATAATTTAACGTTATGAAATGTCACTTAACGACTTTATGCAATAAACTGACAATAAATAAATTCAGTTTTCATAAATAAAATTATTGTCCTTTATGGTTTATATAAATCAAAGATTTCAGAAAGCAACAAATAAATATCACTAACTCCATAATGCACTTAATAGAAAGGAAGATGAAATTACACCTAAAATGATCATAAACAAGTGTTGATCATTATGTTAATCTTAGATACTGACATAAGTTCAAGTTGAGAAATAAACAAAGGTTCAGATAAATTCTGAAGAATGTTTAAAGGGAAAGAGTGAATTCGGAACCAACTATTCAGATGAAATAGTGAATAAGAATAAAGAATATACAACAGAAATCTAATGTTGATTGATATAAAAAATAACCACTTGATTTAAATAAGATGTATGGATATTAAAAACAGAAGGGAAAAACAATGAGGAGAAAACACAGTCGCAAGGCTAAAAGGTAGCTGTCTAACAGTATAAGAAATGCCTTAATGTTATAACACAATCTAATTCTTGGAACAATGAATTAGAAAACACTTGATTTCAAATGAAAAATAATATTGTGGAAAAAATGTAAATTATTAAAATTAAAATACTAAAATTTGCATAAATAATATGCGTTTACATGCATAAAAATGTTGAGACAAACCACTTTGGATATTCAATTACTTTAGAAATAAATAAAAATAGGCAGTAAGCAAATATTTTCACTCATGTTATCCAAATATCACAGTACCATATTAAAACCACTGGACTGATTACAGTCAAAATTTAATAATTTAGTTGTAAAAAAAATGGTTACAATTGTTTCAACAGTTCTTAATTCAATGATAGGCATCTTAAAATCACCCATTTGATTCTAATTTTGAGGAAAAGAAGAAATAAAATACAGCTAAATAAGAAATATTCACAACACCAAGCAAATTCACATTAATAAATTGAATCATCACTATTCCAAAATGTTTATATTACACATAACATTATTATTATTAATACAAAAATAGGATAAGAACACTGACTTAGCATCCGATGAAAATATGGGTCTGCTGTCGATAAGAGTGCCACCTCCTCTTCTTTTCACGATAATATCGTTCTTAGTCCCTTTAACCGTGGGAGTAGGAAATTTAATTTCTGGAACCATCTTCACATGACTACAAACAAACAAGGCTTAACTAGCCGAACAGAGATTGTCCACACGTGGTGGTTGTTGTAAGAAAGGTTATTTTCCTACCTTTTAACACCATAGAGGTAGTATTATTAAGAACGGCCAGTCGATAGTAGAAATAATAAATAACAATACCAAATATCACACAATTTGACATATCTATTTGTTTTTATACAATTTATTTCGTTATTAAACTCTTAATCATAAAGTTTTTCAAATATCTTAGGGATATTTATAAAATTCAAATAGATTGGAAAAGTATATATTTACTTGTTTGTACCATTAAATAACCTTATTTGTAGCGCAGCTTCCAAAAAAAACATAAATATTTTTAATGGATTAATATTCTTACTTTAATCAATAGCCTAGTAAGGTATCAAATTTGGAAATAACATTTCCTTCCCTCATTATTCTTAGGGTTAACTTAGCAATTTCTTCTTGTGATCAAACGTTTTCTTTAGAATGACATTTTTACGCCTCACAGAAACGGACTTGTATTCTTGGACTGGTCCTTATCTTTACGATTTGGTACTAAAGCTATTTCTGAAATACATAAGTTTATATTTCTATGAACTCTCTCTCTCATACGTACCAAAAGTCCATCATTATTCATTTGAATCTTGTTACTATGTTTCGAATGTCTTGAACAGGCTTCGGTATTTTGCTTTTAATGACTACGATAGTATTGCACCTCTCGGAATTTGACCTCTTTAACGCATTCGGGTATGGTTTAGTTAATAAATCTTGAGCAGAATCGTCCGAGCTTAGCATCATGTTTGTCTGGGGAAACATGTATAGTTTTTATATACTTAACATCTTTAGCTATAGTTTTATAATGAAATTATAACTCTATTTGAGAAGTTTAGTATTTTATGCTAATTATCTAGTTCAAAATCTATGAAATATTGGAAATTTTATGCCAAAAAGGTGCTTCGGTGCTTCTGTGGCGGTAGTTGATAATTACATTAGTATCTAGGTTTTGAAAAAAATATTCATGTAAATTTTACAGAAATGAATTTTGATTTATTGTAACCGACCAAAAAATTCAAAAAGCCAATTCCTCTCAAAATTCGAGTTTTATCTTTCACGATACGTAGAATACGTCTGCCCGACGTCCGCCACTTTTTCCTTCCCTTCTTTACCTTTTCAGGCTATATGGAATTTTTCTTGGCCCAGGGGGTGAGGGCGAGGAATTAATGTCAGAGTTAATAGTCCCCCGGCGCCGAGGTTCGAACTCACAAACTTTGGTTTATCACTGGTTGCTCCAAACTATACTTTATATAAAGACCTTAACAAGACAACAACTGTTACTTTCGGACACACAACAACAGATTTTACGATAACTTACAAGTACATACCAACTCATTAATATAAGGTCGATGGTTAACTGGCTAGATAACACAGAAGGCTTAAATGAAGGGAAATGATGGATCTCTTTGGTTAAATATGAATACTAAAAGCAAGATAGATAAGGTGCCGCTGAACACTCTTCTCCCTCAAGCCTATGCCTTACTATTATTATTCATCTCGACTGTATACTGTGTCAGTATTGGTATGTGTCAGTATTGTGTAAGCATATTGGCTGTCAATATTTCTACAGATGTGGGTGAAAAAAATAAAGTTCATAATATATATATGTATCTATTTATATCATAGTAATATACAATTTCATTAAATCATATATTTTAATTAACAAAGGAAATAAAAAAACATTTAGTTTCCAGTAATGGTCTGGGTTGTCAAACTCAATTACTACTATTGTATGGTACAAGTTATAAAATTGCTAAAGTTTAAAACAGATAAATGAGTTGGAACAATCACTCCGTTACATAGCTGTGGAGTTTTATCTTTGTTCATCAAGAAGTAAACGTATCTGATTGTAATACGAATAAATGTATCTTTCTAGATTATATGGGGTAGATGCATAGCATAATAACTATTTAACACACCTATTTACTACTAAGATATTACTGGAATTACCTATAATACATATAAATTATTTATTATTCGCTTTCATGTAATAGTCTGTACAATGAATTTGAAGAGTCCGTCTAGTGCTTCCGTGTTGATGAAGTGTGATTTTGTTGGCTGATGATTGTAGACGACTTGCACACCCATCGATTTGTAGAATTCCGCTGTTTCCTTAACCCATGATGGAGCAACTATAAAGTCATACTCTGCTCCAGTTAAGTAAAGAGGCGACAGTTCTCTTTTAATTTGATTTTCTCCACTGGAAACGTTCTGAAAATTAACAATTTTTATTCTCCTAAACGATATACTTTAATGCACATTTATAATTACCAAAATGTTTAATATATAAAGATTTTATTTATCATTTTATTATTATTAGAGACGAATCCGATACTATAGATGAATTCAGCACTGAGTTTAGGAACTTACCTCTTCCATTAAGCGGTATCTGTTTAATAAAAGAAACCGTTTTAAATAAACAGATTACTACTATACACCTGACCATTGCCTGCTGGTCATTGTTATCCTGAAGGTGACTTTTTCTCAGGTGTACACCTCTCTCAAACAGAGCATTGCTGTAATAAATCATTTGTTATGGAGAAGGGAGAGGGAGAGGACGTATTTTGTTACGTACAAATAAAATTTATTCTAGGTAAGAGAATATACAATCGTACAATACATTAAAATTTTGAATTCTAGCAATATTGGATTGCAGTAATCAATCCGCTGAATAAATTTCCAGGCAGAAAGAATACCAAACAAATTCATACATTACACACACATGAAACAACTGAAATTCACATGGCTCGATTACTGCAAAATTTACGAAAAAATTAATTAAAATAGTGAACAGCGATACAAAGATTACACTAACGTGTCTCATTAACTAGTGGAAGGTACAGTTTGAATGTTAGCTCTTCTCTTCAGGTTATATCATACCAATAGACGAGCAGGTCAGGCGTGCCCATCCCTCCTCCCAAGGTCCATGGCGCAAGATCTTACCCCTTCTCTCACCCCCTCCTCCCAAGATATTTTATTGCTTATTTTTTCTTATTTAAAAACAGAGCAAGCTAAGGTGGAATTAGAAAAATCGTTGATCATAGACAATTACGCTTGCTGCGGCCTGTTTCATGTTTTCCCTTCTCCCTTAGTCCGAAAATTGATAACACCGTCAAAATTTACCCCACTCAAAAATTCAAAAACCCGTCAAAATATGCACCTTAAGCTATGAAACCCCCTGTGGGCATCCAAGGAGCAGGTTAATACTAATAAATATATAAGGTTTTAATTAACAGATAATATCCGTAAGGCAGATAAAGAAGGTAGTAGCAATATATATACGGATTAAATTTTATGAATGACAAAAGGAGTAACAACCACTTAATATTGAAGAGTAACCCATTTTTATTATAACACTTATGGTACTGCAATGAAACAGTTTTTTCAATCCAACAGTTTAGAATTGATTTATCACTTTCTTTTTACCATTCACAGTTACCAATTCACAATCACGCATGCCATGCAGAACTGCAACTCCTTCACAAGGTGGATAAGAAAGAAACACCTGAATACGAGCTAAAAGCATTAGGATTAGAAACCATAGCTCAAAAGTATCCTCAAGATTGGCTCCATATCTATACCGACAGATCAGCAGAATCAGCTGTTAAAAATGCTAGAGCAGGGGTTTACTCAAGGGAATTCCAAATCAGCGCTGCGGTGGGTAAAGATGGAACAAATTTCGACGGTGATATAGCGGCGACCCTCACAGCCTTAAGAATATTATCTAGAAGGCGGAATCAGAGAGCGCTGTTCTCTTCATCGACTCTCAAGCAGCCATTCTCGCTGTCACAAACACGAAAGAATGTTTATCGAGTGGTATATTGGAATGCAAATCCCTCCTCTCTAACCTGACACTCCGAGGCACCAATGTAGTCCTACAGTGGATTCCCAGCCATTGTGGGATTCCAGAAAATGTTGAGGCTGATATTCTTGCCAAGCGAGGAATAGATTTGCCTCAGCCGATGCATCTAAAATCTTACGACTCAATACGGCTAATGGCAAAGATGGTAGTGAAGGAAGAAATAAGAAAAGCACAATTGGGCAAAGTGGAAGAGAAACGTTATGAATGTTTGAAGGATAATCCGATTCCAGCTGAAATGCCGAGAAGAGATACAGTTGCCTGCTTCCGCCTTGCCACTGGTCACGACTATCTGGAGAATCATCTCTACAAGACAGGCGTGGCGAAGGATCCTAGCTGTAAATTGTGTCATCCAGGAACAATAGATGCAGACCATCTAGACGCATATCCTGCCTTGAGGGACAAAAGAGAAAAAATATTTTCAAATATATATATTAAAAAGTCTAAATTATACTGGGCAGCAAGATATCGGATGACCAAGTGACCAACGACTGGCATTAGAGAAAAACAAAACAAAAAAAACCTTTTTTTTTACAATTATAATTGGTATTTTAATATCTAAAAATTATTCTATAATATCAAACATTATTAACAATACCAGACTGAGATAAGTTTTTCTTGGTAGAAAACCTGCTATAGCTCCTACGCAGCCAAGTTTTTTAGCATATTCATATCCATAAATGAGAGACATTATCCCTCCGTTAGAGTAGCCAACTGAAACATTTTTTACAATTTATAAGTAATACAACTACAATATGACTTTATAATAGCTTAATAAGTATTATAAAGTGGTATCATCTTTTGGAAAATCAGTAACTAATTAATTAATAAATATCAGTTAGTCTTTTGGAGGACGTTAAAAAAGTAAAATGTCTAAAATTCTTGCAATAATTTATTTTTTAATGGGGCTTCTCTCAAACATTAATCCATTCTGGTTAAAAAAATAGTCTAGATTATCCACTGGTTCTCCTGTAAAACTAATATTTTCAATAATTTATTGTTATTGTTAATTATAAAAATTTTGTTCAAAAATAATGACCAGGATATGATTTTTATCACTTATGATCAAAAATAAAAATTATTAAATGATTTTTCAAAATTTCAGATAAAAATTTCGATCAGATTTGATTTTTATTTATTTTTTTAATTATAGATTTCAAACCCTAGTATTTAAGTTGTTATTTTGATTATTATAGTTTCCTTTGGCTTATGTACATTTAGTTTTGGTATTATTATATTGCTGTTTAATTTATATTTTGCACATAGTGTGAATGGGTACACTATTTCTAGTGTACTTTAATGTGACAGAATGTAATATTTCTGAATAAATAATTAATAATTAAAATTTTTAGTAATACCATTCTTAAAATGAAAAAATATTCATAGAAAAATAATGGTCTTGATTTTATAAAAAAGTAGAACTTTATGACACATAATATAAATAAAAGAAACAAAAAAAAAAATTTCTTTTCCCTTTTTAACATAAAATAATAGTAAAAAAATCAAATATTTATATATATATATATATATATATATATATATAAATTAATTTAATAATCCGGGCTAATTTATCCAAGTATTATATCAATCAGTCCCACTAGTTACCATAGAAAATAATATTTAATATTTACCAACGCAAATACGCTCTTGTGGAATTCCTGATTGAACCTGATCTTGAATCCATTTTTCTATCATACCTGCTGAACTGTCTAAAACTTCGTAGTTCACTTCGCAGTCAATAGCGGCTTTATTGGCAGCGATCCATGACGTTGTTATCTGAAAAAGAATTCACTTTTGTATTTTGAGTAGTAATGTAAGTTTAAATTATGACTTGTTAATTGATGAGAGGCTGATGAAGTACATAAAAATATTATGTATTCTGAATCGCCTAATATTATTCATAATTATTAACATAAATTATGCGCATGTTGTGTTTCAGTTTACCCCTCTTCATTCCAGGCACAGGTGGGTCTATGGGGGTGGGGCTTTCGGGCTTAAGTCGCCCAAAATTATAAAATATAACCATTTCATATGAAAAAAAATATTAAAATATTATCTTTAAAAGTATTATTGTTGGTGTAATTGCATTTAATATGACTTCAAGAATTATTTCAATACCATTTCATATAATGGGTGATAAATATTCAGGACGCAGTCATTATAAAGTTTTTATTGATGCCGACATTTCAAGCCAAACATGTTCATTAGAATATCAGGGCGTGTTTCGAGCACAGCAGGTATTCGAAAAAAATATGTATCCAATATTTTATTTAAAATATATTTATAAAAATTTAAAAACATGCAATTACGAATAATGCATTAATTACTGAATAAACGACTATATTTCGTTATATGAGTAAAGCCTTATTATATGGACAAGTTAAAAAAACTTCTGTTTTATACATATATATATATATATATATATATATATATATATATATATATATATATATATATATATATATATATATATATAACTGAAATAAATAGTTATGTGATTTAATTAAGACGCACTTTTCACTATTTAACATTTTATATATTTATAGGGCGTTTTATGGTGCAAATCAAAATTTTTGAGTGGAGGCATATTTTGACGGGTATTTGTATTTTTGAGGGAGCGCATTTAAACTGCGTTATGAATTTTCGGAATAAAAATTTACCGAATAAGGGATAAGGGAAAATCATGGAACAGACAGCATCAAGTTCAATTTTGTATGATCTACGATTTTTCTAATTCTACTTTCCTTTGCTCTGTTTTTAAGAAAAGTGAGCAATAAAATACCTTGGGAGGTGGGAGGGGAGGTGGAAGGAGAGGGGGGGGGAACAGGTTCTTGCGCCATCGACCTTGGGAGGGCACCCTTACTATGTAATGCCTACATAAAAAATAATCATAATAAAATAATATACCTGATAAAACTTTAAAATCATGAAATAAATAAATATACTTGCCTGTCCATTCCAGGGGAAAGGATGAAACTGGACAGCTTTTGCCGTAGGGAAGATAAAACGGATGGATGGATACTGAGCCAAACTGCCGATATGACTTTCCACGGTCTCCCTCATCAGTCGGCCGCTCTCGCCTAGACAATTATTTTAAAACTATTAAAACGAAAAATTGTTTTTATATAACATTTTAGACATATCGATAATGTTGTCGAGGTAAAATTGACTGCCCCAATTCAGTAAAGATTTTTAGGTCGATAAGTTATAGAAGCTGAATGCATGAGCGGACTTAGTGCATCAAAAAGTAGAAAGGAGTTAGAAAATAGACTATTTTTAACAATTTAATTTTAATAGTTTAGACTAATTTACCATTAGTGAATGTGAAAATTGCTTTATTGATTAGAATTTAAGTAAAATAATTTGTTTTTGTTCCATATTAAATTTTATTTAATTCTAGATGTATACACTTTTGTTTTTTGTTATTGTTCTATTGTAATTTTAAGCATCTTAATATTGTGTATAGGAGAGGTGTATAAAGAGAGATGAAGAGAGAGAAGGGAGAGAAAGGGAAATTAAAAGTTAAAAAAAGGAAAAATGAACAATGAAAGGAATAAAAAATTTATATATATGTATTTATTATAATAATATAAACTAGCCACTACTGTATATTTATATATAAGTTCATTTATTGTCCTACGGTTTAACGAGTTTGCTGTGTATATAGCAACACAATATAATTCGGCAGCAATCTTTTATATTTTATATGAAAATAAAGTGTTTCTCTATCTTTTAACGGATTTTTTTAGCACAGTTAATGGCTATGAAAGTTTTTGTTCCAAAAAAAAAAGTTCAACTGTGTGAAATTCCAGAGATTTTTAAACATCTTATAATTTGTTTCCGATTTTTATTCATCGATGTACTGGTGGTAAAAGAAAAATTTTGAGATTCTAAAAGACATTTTTCTTATACCAACTGGAATTACACATGAATTTTCAACCCTGCAACTTAATAAGATGGGCAGAATGAGAGTGCAAAACTAGAAATAGGAAAATCTACGAAAGTAATTACGAGGAAGGGAACAAAAAGTTAAGATCCTCAAATGACACCTTTCTTACTCCTACTCCATTTATATTTTAAGTTTTTTTAAGTATGTCATGTTTTTTCTTCAATAGAAAACGATAACTAAAAAAATGTTTAATTTAAATAATTAACGGTTGCTTCACTATAAACTAGACACAATTTACTTAAAATAAAAATAAAATATGTCACTATTATAACTAGAGACCGGATTTCCATGTTAATGCACTTTTTATTCGCTTGCGTGTATAAACTCCGGACCCGAATATCTATCCGTTTTAGGACCTGTAGAATAACATATTTAAATTTTGTATTGCACGTTTTGCCGTTTTTTGGCTTAAATTGCACATTTTTGCACTTTTGTGCTAAATTGGACGATTTATAAATACAAATGTATAAGTGAGTGTGTTAATATTTATATTACTATTTACTTATTATTTTACTATATTGTTCAAATTAAATTCATTATTTAAAAGAGAAAAGTATGAGGAAGGCAAATAATTCTGTGTGAAGCAAAAATCGTATTCATTACAAAAGGAAGAAGTAAACACAAGTAAGATCTATTCTTGGAACAGAACTTGCCTGAAGTATTGGATAATAAAAAAGCTGCTTTCCTAGAATTAGCTGCTTTGTTAGTAAGGCATTTATAGTTATTGTTTTGGCTTGAATCCTCACTCACCATTCAATCCTTCAGTATCTCTTCCGGCTTTAAATAGATTTGTAGATATTTCATTCTTATAATATATATATATATATATATATATATATATATATATATATATATATATATATATATATATAATGCTGAAAGTAATATCTGGATATAAAAATACCCCGATTTGAAATGTGGAGACATAGAATTTTATTCTTTACACCTTATGAAAAATCAACCAGATGATGGGAAACCACTGATAGACGCTCATTGGGAAACGTAAGAAAAAAATATCCCTATAACAGAATTAGATTTGTTGGTTGTTTTTTAGAAAGAACGTATTCTCCAAAAATATTTCTATTTCTATTTAAATTAAAAAAAAAAATCTTTAAATTTCATCAAAAGCGTTTGAGATGTATTATATTGGAAATTTCAAACCTATTAAAAAATAAAATTTTCATTATTATTTTTAATAAAAGTTAAATATCTAAAATTGGTCTGGTTTATATAACCTATAGGTACCTATAATTCCTGCAAACCTTCATTTATTCCGTCAAACCTTCAATGTTCTGCATTATTGGATAATAATGTTTATTTTAACAGTTGATTATAATCTGGAATTTCATTTTCAATCTAACATTTCAATTTTTTTTTTCTTTAATCTTTTTTTTCTTTAGTCTTTAGGTGTTAATTACATAATTTTAAGTATTTTGGATTTTTACTGCACGATTTTGAGTTTTTTACTGCACGTTTTTCGAATTTTTACTGCACGAACATCCGGTCTCAAGTTATAACCATCTAAAGAGGACTTTTAGGCGGCTAAACTAGGCTAAGTTCTCTTTTTAAAAAAATCATAAATGATTAAGGATTTTTTTTATTATCATCCGACTACACTACAGATACACCGCTTTTAAAAAAACTTCGTTTAAGAAGCTTTAAGTCCGTATTAATTAATTAGAGGTTTATTAGGAAATATTTGAGATTCACCTCAAGTTTTCTGGAACGAACATGTGATTTTCATCCTGTCAAGTAAAAATATCATTGTTTTCAGCAAAAATTTAATACAATTAATTATTTCAAAGCTTTTATTTCTTGTTTTTACATGATCTAGGATGTATTATAATAAAAATGATTGCCTAAATATACTTTTTTAAAATAAAAAATATTAAAAATAATGATTTTTAAAAGATTTTTCATGTAAAGTGGTTTTGAAATAATGTTTTTCTCCCAGATCTCTGCCATAGGAATTGCTCCGTATTTATAAGTGAGAAACTAAATATTCCTGGTCATAACCTTAACGTTATAATGAAAATAATTGAAATATTCAGTACGTTTCTTAATTCTAAATGTCAATTTTGGTAGTAGGAACACTTTTTTTTGTCTAAGATCTGAGAGAAAAACATTGTTTCAAAACCACTTTCACTTTTTTTAAAACCAAACATTGTTACAAAAAAAAATCATTAGTTTTTATAATGATGTAAAAATTCATTTTTACTTTAACTTATATATGTATGAAATATATTGTAAAGGGAAGTATTGCAACCGTGAAAACTTACCAACTTCAGTTGTAATAAACGTTTTGAGGCCCCCTGAGTTCCAGATAACTAAGTCCCGCAATCTGGCCTGTGTGTGTGTGAGAGAGAGAGTGTGTGTGTATTAACACTCAAAAACGAAAAGTCGCACGAAAGCGAAATTGCGTATTTAAGGTTTTTTTATACTAGGGATGTTACAGCAACTTTTTTGTCAAAATCAGCTAACCGGAAGTGGCACTTTATATAATGGAATAAACACATTTTTACGATTTTCTCGAAAACGGTTCAAACGATTTTGATCGATAGACGCCCGAAAGAATAGAATTTGCTTCCATACGTATACAATATTCCATGGTCTTAATATAATACAGTCTCCGACAATATTATATAAATATACATATGTGGTTTTCATAAATGCTATTGTCGCTAATATTTATTTAGTATATTTAATTGATTAGATTACAGCGATATGAATACTAAAATTTGTATATATAAGGGTACTCAAACAAATAAAAATACCCTCAATGAAGTATGGATTCTATAATTTTTACTTTCACTTCCCCTTCGTCGGACAATACTCATTTCTGCTAAGAAGATGATGGTAAGTGAAAGTTGTGTGATGCGCGCACCGCGCCGGATTTTTTTTTCTTTCGACTCAAGTCATGAAGTCCTATACTGCCCTTAAAAAAATATTGCGATTACAGTATTGTAAAAGATAGTTTTTGTCATTCAAATATGTCTACTATTGATTGTTTGCTTAAATAGTTTAATAATGTATGATTAATAAAAATGTATTACATATAATAATTATAAATTATAATTGTCTCAAATTTACCAGTTCCATGAAGAAATATCACTGCTGATTGCGGCGGCTGGTCACTTTCGATAATATCAGTTATTTCTTGGTAAGGCTGACAGCAATATATTGATAGTGTACAAGAGATGAGGCAGAGAGCAACGAACATGGTTTTTGACACTCAAGGGATCCGGAAATAATATGAATCGAGTCATAAAACAGGCCAAAGACGGGTGTTAGTTCCACCTACCAGCCGTCCCATTCAGATGACCAAATGGAATCGAAGATGGCCTTAAGAATGCATCACGAATATTTTATCAGATTAATCTGTATTGTTTTGAAGTTTCCCACATTTTTTTCTTTTATATATATATAATTTATAAAAAAAGTGATATTGAAGGCAATCAAAACAGAAATTAATTAACATATGTTTCTCATCATTAGCGAGAACCTTTGGTTGTCTATTTTGGCTCAACTCGAACTATGAGATTAATAGAATCTTCTTTTATAAGTTCTGTTATCATCCTGGAAATAATCCTCAGTTGGATAGCTAGAAATTGGTAATGAAGATATGAATGATTTTAAATATTTCAACATTATTGATGCCTATTCTACTGAGATATTCTTATTTAAAGTGTGCTATATACGATATAAGACTCCTTTCCATCTCTGAGAAGCGAAGGATTTTGAGAAACGAGGTGTAAAACAAAACCGAATTTCATGAAGAAATAAGGAATCCCGATTCGAGAGATAAAATTAATATAATTTCACAAGATAAAACAACACTGTTTAGTTTAGATGATTAAAATGTTTAAGCACCGTACTAAATCTGAAAGTAATCTCAGTTTGACTTAAATGCAAGACCTGCAGGGTCTGGAATTGCAATAGTGCAAGACCAAGATTGCAAGACCAAGACTAATTCGGGCAACACTAGTCCCAGTACCCATTAGGATCAATTTTCTTACACTTTTGCCTAGGTTTTTAATAATTACTGAGTACAAAAAATTCTATGGTAAAACATAAGAGTCGTTTGGCCATTGATTTTAGAGATTCAAACTTCTGAAAAATAAATAAAGTGTAAATTTGTTTTTCCACGATTCACTTCATGATAAGATTCTAATGATAATGGCTAAAAATCTCTTCATCATTCTAAATAGTGAGCCTGGTCAGGATTGAATTGAAACCATAAAGACGATGAAAATAAAATCGTTATCAGGATAATAACTAGAAAATACACTAATTCAATTCCTGATTAGTTTTATAGTAAATTATAAAGGAATTACTGACAAGAAGATGTTCGGTCAGTTAAGCCAAATTATATTAATTATTATAAAGTTAATGAAAGATGAAAATAATAATAATTCGTCTATTTCAACATTAGAAGAAAAGTTAAATAGTCTGAAGTACAAAAAAATCTTTTTCTCTTTTCTTCTTTTGTTTGGAAGTTGTTAATGAATTAATTCAGAGGTTGGTAATAAAACTTCCTTAAATGCAAACAAATGTAGTAGTTACATCTTAATAAATTGTTAATGTATCCGGAATCTTCATACCAAATCTTCAGAACTTTTCCTTTGCAATTCACTTATATCAAATTCTAAAATAAAAGCATTATTATTGTTACATAGCTTGTTATTAAAAGTTATTTTGACTTTGTACTTTGTATAATGACTACTTATTTTTCTATTCAGTATGGGTTTGTAATGAATGCAAAAATTATTTTAAGTACTTTTATTTATTGAAAAGAATTACAATATACAGAATAACCGCTTTATATTTGACAAATTAAGAATGTATCCATTCATCATGAGGTCTGAAAGGTGACTATTACTTCATAGAGTAACAGATAAGTAATATTTATAATAAAATAAATAAACAATGAATAAAAATCATTGTAGAGATTATACCTTCATTTAATATTCTGTTTTTGATTCTGAAGAAGAATTTCCTTATGAATTATCCAAAAATAACCTTACAACGTTTAAATGATTTTTAATTTAAACGTTTAGCTCTACACTAAAAATAAATAATTTGTACTTTAGAAAAAAAAAAAACAACAACTACCAGATGCTTAGATATAGATATAGATGTACTATAAAAAAAAAAATTCAAAAATATCCACAACTTGGGGTCGCTTGATTGATTTCGTTGAGTAGCTCTTTTATGGTGGAAAAATATGAACTATGTACGAGTAACATCTTTATAGAACTTAGAAAATCGTCTTCTGAACAAACTCAAGAAGACCCCTGACTGACTTCCTCGTCAAAAAGTGACTGGCTTCCAACTGAGAAACTGATGTTACATTGACTCCTCCTGTCTGGAACGCATCTACAGTTGTCTTCATCCATTTGGGGAGGATGAAGAAGTCCAACCTTCCTCCAGATATATAAAGAGGAGGTAGGTCGCTTACAACTTCATCCCGTTGGTTGATTAGTTTCTGGAACAGCGTTTAATTGTTAATGATAATTTTTTCTGCGTTAGAGATTATAATTTTGTAAACAGAGCTTAATAAAGGACGCTTTCTCACAATTAATTAATTATCGCTTCTAATTAATAATAGAGATAAACGCTGCAAATTATCACACAATGTTTTATTATTTAGAAACAAATATACATCAAAAGTAGCATTACTTTTCTTTTAACAAAAAGGAAAATAAATAAAAGGTGATTTCTAATATTTGTCTAAATAATTTGTTTTTTTTCATCATTAGTGATTTCCTCGTTGCTTCAGTTGCGTAACTGTTACAAAAAAAAAAAACAGAACAAAGGATATAAGCTTTGCAGTAGACCGTGTGAAAATATTTAGAAAAACACATCTTTGTACCAAATTGTTTGATTTTAACGATTTCTTTAGTTTTGATTTATTGGAAATTTCGTAAATTTTTAAATAACCATGTAGAACATTCACTGAAATCGGTGCATCTGTTCAGGCGCTAAAGTCTATACGACACAGGTCTTTCGGTCGCCATTTGAAAGGGAAGTAATTTTCGAGAAGAAGACTTTAGCGAAGTTTCATTGAAATCGGTACATTCGTTTAGGCGCTAGTCTATACCAACACAGAATTTTCAGACGTCATATTGAAAGGAAAAGGCTCATCGTCGGTTGATCTCTGACCTTGATTACAACTTTGGAAAAAAAATCGGTTCAGTAGTATAGGAAGGACCGAAATAAATGTAATTATTCGATTTTCGAATTCTGAATAACCTGAAACATAAAACCTCAAATTTTGAGGGGAGTTAGGTTTTTGAATTTTTTGATCGAATTATTCGAAAGCTGCGATATCTTTACTAATAGCGCTCTGATTTCGATGAAACTGTTTTAGGAAATTTTAATATATCTTTGAAACACTTTATTATAAAAATCACAAAAAAAGTGTATACTTTTTGAATTATACCGAAATATAATTTTATCATCCTATGTAACATTTTTGCCAGCTTCTTTTCGTTGATGTATGCTATATAGAGAAATTTAAAGGGTTTCGAAAAATAAGACTTTAGCCAAGTTACATTTCAGCCGCGGACGGCGTGCGGCGCACAGTGAGATGAGTAAGAGAAAACTTTTTTATTGATGCCTTGTGATACCGGAGTTTCCGAGAATATTTTCAGGTCGCACAATATACATTTTTCACTGTTTTATTGAATAATTCAATTGAAAATAAAAAATGATTTAGCCGATGTCACGAGTTTTTTCTTACTCGTACCACTGTGCGGCGGACAGACAAAAAGTTTTTGTTCCGTTTCCGAATTCTCCGCATCCTGAAACGTAAAAATTCAAACTTTGATAGAGAGACAAGTTTTATAATTTTTTTGTTAATTACAATGATCTATTATTGAAACTAATAAACAATAATGTTTAAACAATCTTTTTTTTAAATAAAATTATTTTAAATTAATTAATAATAACTGTCCTTAGCTAAAGTTGTAGAAGTGAAAATAATACCTCGTAAAGTGCACTAGATGTAGGCAAGAAAGCAGACATTGCTCCAACACAGCCCAAGTTTTTGATGTATTCGTAGCCTAAATGCAGCGACATCAATCCGCCGCTGGAGAATCCAGCTGCATTGGAAAATAAAAAATTTAGCAGTGTAGAAATCTAGATAACTTGTAACGGTTTGTTAAAAAACAAAAGTGTTGGTGAAAATTAAATCACAAAATATTTAATAACCTGTAAAGTTAATAATTTTATAATATTACTCGTAATAAAATGATTACTGAGCTACTAATTTTTTAATGGGTTTTTTTCCAGTAGGATACTGGAGAGGGCCCCTCTCCAATCCATTGAGCACTGCCATCATGCTACTCAAAATTCCCTCCTCTGCACTAGCAGATCCAGGATTTAATTTTTTTTTTTGGGGGGGGGAGGGGCTACATCCCGAAGGCTTTTTTTCATATATATAACGATAATTACTTTGGAAATAAAAGAAAGATACTAACTACATATATGAAATTGTTTTTAAGTGATTCTTAAAGTCCTATTAAACGTAATTACACGAACAATAATACTTTAAGAAATAATTTTAATATATTTTTTTCCATAAACATAACTAAATTTTACCATTTTGGGAAGCTTTCCCCACCCCCACCCCTTCGGTAGATGCGCCTGTGTTCCTCTGTCCCAGTATTTTCCATATGCGAAGAACTATCCTGGTGAAAATATGTTGGAAAAGAAAAGGAGCCTTAAAGTCCATCTAACACAAACACGAGATACTCCAACGACCTGCGCCGGTTGTTGAGGATTTATCCAAGGAGTCATGGGAGATTTTAAAACAATTGAGGCTTCGGAAATTTGATTGCTTAAGCATGATAATATGGAAGACTTCCCTAATTATATTGTCTTCGTGAGTCTTTACTTTATCCAAAATTGATAAAAAAATCATTCAACGCCTAATTCAAAATCTAAGACACCTTTTCGACATGACAAGATGGCGAAAGGGTGTAGAAAAGGAGTCGAAAAGGTGTCATGAGTTTTATAAGAAACATTATCAAAAAGAAAAATATATAGACGGATGGCTTTCTCTTCTTACCCAAACCCATATATATTTTATGATTTTTAATTTACATTTCTTAAATATACAGGAACAATCAACAGTGAATTATATTTTACATATCATAAAGGACGACAATGATCATTAATAGATAAAATAGTTTTTAACAATATTAAACTGTTATTATCTTTTTATTAACTTTTTGCTTATAGGTCAGTATAATAAATAATCACATTTACTTAAATAATAGTGAACGTTTCAAGAAATCTCTGTCTAAAACAATACAATTCATATATTGAAGGTTTTATCATAAATCAGTCATTTTCAACTTTAAAATAGATAGTACCATTCTATTATATAGAAAAGATTTTAGTGACTGTCACATTTTATTCATCCAAAAACCAGACCAATGGGTCAAATATTAATTGGGGTTCTGTCTCCTACCAGTTTTTAATGCTGCCTGATCCAACAATTTGCTTCTCAATGTCTTAAGGGAATGAACAACCAACATACGAATAGTTCACAAGGAAGCTCATGAAGAGAAATTTAGAAGTGAAGAAAAAAGAGGCTCAAAAGTCTTTTTATCCACGGCTTCATAAGCATTATATTTTGTGTTACAATTAGTACTTCATTTCTATTTATAACAAAAAAATTAATATTCTAAGAAATATTGAAAAGGAAAGAACAGCCACATTAGTAATAAAATAAAATTATCATCGTTTAAAGCCAAGAACTAGCTTATATTCAGGACCTAAATATTGAACTCTTCGCAGGCGAAGGTTTGATTGTAAATTACGAAAGTGTATGTTATTTTGAGTAAAAAGAATGTTGTCTGCAGTTCCAGCTGTTGTCTGCTTTAAAAAATGGCGGCTGATTTATAGAATATTAGACTAGTAATTTGAGGATCGAAACGGGAAATCCATTGCGAAAAATATGAGAAAATCTTTTATTTTTTTAACTCATTTCCAAGTTGCAGGGCCATTTACAGTGATTTGTCTCAGTTTTTGACAAATTGGGTAAAAATCAGCATTGATCAACCGTGGTTTTATACCTTACCACTTACTAAGTTATAAAGTTTATATACTCGTTCGATGCACAATTTAACGTTCTTCAGTTTATTAAAGAATAAATTTTTCGCTTTGGTGCATCGTTTAGGAGTTATAGTTGAAAAAACAAAAATATATCGAACAAATCTGACTCTTTTGTTGTAAAATGTTTTCCCTTGGTGGCCCGCGCTAGTAATTTTGTTTTTTACATGTCTAAAACCATAGATACAATTTAAAAATATAAAAACTTTTCTCACATTTTTAGCAATGGATTTCCCGTTTCAATACTCAAATTACTGGCCTATTATTGTTTAAATTAGCCGCCATTTTTTGAAGCAGCGACTCTGGAATGGCAGACTAGTTTTTTTTACTCAGAATAACATGCATTTTCGTAATTTATAATCGAACCTTCGCCTGCGATGGGTTCGATTTTTGGACCTGGCTCCAGGGGTATTAGTAATTGTTTATACATGGAGAACGAGTGACTTAACTTATGCACTTAGAACTTGATTAACTTTATTTTTCTCGCTAGCTAACCTATAGATTATTTTCGTACGGATATAAAATTACATTATTTTATAAAATGTATTTATTATATTGATAGTTTTCTCTTACCCACGCATATATTTTTATGCGGTATACCAGATAACACCTGTTCTTCGACCAGTTTTTCAATCACCATCGCTGATTCATGAATTTGTGTATTATTTTCCTTCGTTGCAATGTCAAGAGAGTCGAAATTGTACCAAATATTGACTACCTGAAATAATTATAAATATATGTATTATACCGAAAATAATGAGTCTTGGTTTTACAACCATCGTGATTTTACACTTGATTTTTCATTACGATTCTCAAATCAACAATTTTGTTTCTGCCAATTTTTCATGGATTGCTATTTTTTAGCCTCAAAATCATGGAATGATGTTATTATGGCTTAATCTGAATGTTATTCAGAGTTCAATGTAGTTATCCCTAATCTGAATGTTATTCAGAGTTCAATGTAGTTATCCCTAATCTAAATGTTATTCAGAGTTCAATTTAGTTATCTCTAATCAGAATGTTATTCAGAGTTCAATTTAGTTATCTCTAATCTGAATTTTATTCACATTAGGGATAACTACATTGAACTTAAACTCCTATATTATACGAATTGTGGATTGCTTTATGAATTATGTGTTTGTACTGGAACGTGCAAATTCCAGATTGTTGTTTTTGAATAAAAATAAACTCAGATTTTTCATATTCAAGAAAAATTATACTTACCCAAATTATTTGGGTTATGCCTATAAAAGTATTATATAATTATTTTATAGAAAGAACTTGAGTATGGACCATATGAAAAGAAACTTTGTTTAATCAAATCATTACAAAATATTAAAAATTGTCCTTGATTTTATCTTTTATTAAATGCTTGTTAAATACTCAGATGAATTTCATAATTAAAATGTGTAAACTGCGCTTATGAAAGACAAACTGATAATAATTAAATTTTTTTTTTTTTCATGAAAAAGAAGTTTCTATGTCAGAAATAGTATGAGTTTGAAATTCGATACTAGAACATCCATCGAAAAGTTCCAATATGAATACAGATGTGAACTTACTTGGCCATTCCATGGAAAAGGACTAAAAGTCTTTGCTCCAGCTGTTGGGAAGACGAGCCTAAGGTTAGGATAATTGGAGAACCCACCGGAGAGTTTTTCGACAAGTCTTCTTATTTCAGGACCACTTTCACCTAAAATAAATAAATCTATATCTCAACATCCTTCAGATACGAGTTGTTAAAAGTTCCTACGGCCTTGGAGCGACCCTATGGTAAGGAAAAAAGCGAGTACCCTTAATTAAATAATTGATGAAGGCGGAAAACCTGGCGGTTGAGCATCATCCTGGCCCGATCCCCTCCCTGCTCAACCGTTGGCCTCGTATCAGTTCTTTCCCTAGATAGAACTGAACCCAAGACCTTTCATGGGTTGTAGTGGCACAGGTTTTTTTTTTTTTATACAGTCAAAAGAGGTAAAATGAGAAATAAGATGGAAGAACTCCTGATTTACTCGTTCAACTGAAGATAATAAATTCGACAATATCGATGGTTCGGGCACATCAGTAGATTGAAAAGTTGTAAATGTTTTTCTAAGATTGAAAAAAAAGTATTCAAAATCCACCGAATCAAGCCAATACCACTGTTTAAAATACTATTTCACTGTACATGTGTGAAAGAAGAAGTAAAATATTTCATGGATATGTTTATAACTTTAAATATATTTACTATAGAGTATTAATCCTAAATAAAATATTATATTTAAATAATTAGGAATCTATCGGCCGTTTATTCCAAAAAATCATCAAGTAACCTTTTAGAAAATTAAGTAAGTGAATAATTTGATGAATTTTCACTTTATGAAATTCCATCATTATCCACTTACAATCAGTGTGACAATTTTTGACCTATCCATGGCAGGCAATGAAAATCTCGTAATTTCGTTTTAGTAAACTTTAAAATGGAAAATAACCGCTTAATAACTAATAGTCCTACAGTCCATAATCATTTATAGGATAAATATTGAAATATACTTTCAAACCTCTGCATGCATATATGAGCCTTTCGGTTGACAGAATGACTAACTCCAATTTCAACATTCTTCATCATTAATTTTAGTGATGTTTCAAAATTGATACCTTTATTCACAGTTCTATAGCTCAACACTGCAATCACCTATTCTGGAATCAACTTACTCACTGTATGTATAGATATAACTTTTTCAACTAGAAATATCCCTAAAATTACATTACTAAAAAATTTTGAAATTGGAGTTAGTTATTCTGTCAACTGAAAGGCTCAGACTGAATTTGTGTAGTTTATAAAAGTAGATGGAGTGTTTATTGTTTATTGAGTTTTTATTGCCTACCGTCGATATAATAACTAAACTTTTTGTAATTATAATGGCCTTAATGATTTGTTATCTGTAAGTTTTAAGCTTTAGCTCCCTTTAAAATGCACTTCAAAAATTTTATAATAACCCAAATTGCCTGACAATAATTTCTATTCAAAGTAGTGCGGTAAGTGAAAGTTGTGTTGAGCGCACCAGATTTTTTGTTTTTGAGCTAGACAGTTAACATAAACACACACACATAGACCGTTTTGCGGGACTAAGTTATTTGGACTCGGGATACCTCAACAAGTTGTATTTCCGTTGAAAACTCAGATTCGAAAATACTGAAGATCGCAATACTTTTCCTAACTATATATTACATATAATAGGTAAGTGAAAGTAAAAACAATTAGAGGTAGTGAAGTTCATCAATTAAATTTCTTAAAAGAACATTGTAAATTTAATCTAGATTTTTTTATTGTATTTATGAAATTTCTATTTCGTGTAAATCTACCCCTACTCAAAAATAACTCATAACATGGGTAAAACACATTTAATGTTTTATTTGGACAGCTGCTACATTTTAAGTTACATCGAATGCACTTTTGTTTTGTTTTGTTTGCTGTTTTGTTTTGTCAAATGCGGTTTTGTTTACTTCTGATTTTTTATCTGAGGAATGTTAATAATGAGCCCATTAGCAACGTTGATCTCCCGTCAATATAGGATAAAAACATAAATCTATAAAGGGCAGTGACCGTCAATAGAAGAGTTTAGGAATTTGAAGTTGATTAACTTTTTTATACAAAAATAATATTTTATGAAGGATAGAAATCCATAGCATAAATCAATATACTATTGAAATCGTATAAAGTATGTAACTGGGTATTTTATAATGGCTTGGCGAAGAGACAATAGGCATCAATCTATACAGTTTAGTGAATTCCTTATGGAGATTCTCCTACTCCCTCCCAATCGATCCACTTTCACTTATTACACATCACGGACTCTCTTTTAAGAACAAGTTTACTACCGCAGTCCTACATATCAGCTGGTATACTAAGATCGACCACTGCAGAACTCGCACTCACTCAAGCAAGGAGCAGAAAAATAAATCAAATCATCTGACAATCCATACACAACAAAAAGGTAGTGGGTGTGAGACCTAGACTAATTATATATATGTGCCAAGTGAACCTCCAGTACTCATTTCTTAATATCTGACTATTCTTCTTTATCATTGTTAATTATGATTTATCAAGTTTTAAAAACAATAAAACGTATGATAAACAAAGTTATTTATTTTCTTTTATAAAATGATGTATTTCAGTCCTATTTTAAATATTCTGCTACTTTTTAAAAGCTTTGCTATATTTATTGTTTTGTTTTATAAAAAATAATAATAATAAAAATCCTGTACCACTACAACCCATGGACGGTCTTGGGTTCAGTACTAATTAGGGTAAGTACTTTTTCTTATACAAAGGTAGTGCAACGAGGTGATTTGACCAAAATCACGCTCAACCGCCAGGTTTTCCCCTTTGATTATTTTTTTTAATTAAGAATATACGCTTTATAGTGATGGGTGAGCCCCAGGAGAGTTTCATGGATCTTCTTTTATGTCGTACTTAATTACCTCGTTCGTAATAACCTGGCTCGCTGAATTATTAAAATTAAAAAATCGTTTTGAGAGTTGGGATTTTTTTAAAAATTCATTTTAGATTTAATAGATTTTCACCTATGCCTTACCAGCTCCATGTAGAAATATCAAGGTAGCAGTGGGGTGTTGAGGTTCTACAACATCGGTGATCTCTTCATGAGGCCTACAGCAGTATATCGAGAGGAAGCAAACAATCACACAAGCGATGGCTGACATTTTTTCTTGTATATTTCGTCACGACAGACGTATCCTCACTCCACCGCTTCTTGCCTAAAACTGGCTGCAAATTGAAATGATACCCACATTTAAACGGGCTGAAGAATGGCTCCGCGTAATTAATGAGTCGGAAGCTTCCTTTAGTTAAAATACCATATAACGACAGACAAATTAAAAATTTTCTTAAATTGTTATGATTGATTGATAGTATTTCAGAACTGCTCTGGCTTCTTATTACTAATTAATAGTCTACTATTAATTTTTTATTTATTTATTGAGTATTACAACAACCTGTCACTTGGACATTAGTTATAGTGAGGTAGGATAATATTTACACTATATGTACAAAACATATATATATATATATATATATATATATATATATATATATATATATATATATATATATATAAACTAAATAGAAGCAAAATAAAAATAAATAATAATCAAAAAGTATATACAATAAGTTAAATAAAATAACTTAAAAATAAGAAAATTAAAACAAAGAAAAAAATACATGCATACCTATATACACTATTCACAATCAGGTCAGGGAACTCCGAGGCAGGCTTGTCCCTTGAACGATGGAGGAAAAAGCTGGACTGCAGGAGAACCCTGCGCTACTCTCTCAACCGCATCACTGGTACTAAAGCCAGCGGAGATTGATCGAGAGCATTTTAGCCACATACACTCATGTCTTAAGTGGGGAATCTGGACACCAGAACTCCAATATATACAATCCACAAAAGGCCGCGTGGCCCCTGCCGTTTCAATCTTCTTGGAAGATTATAGGGATGGGTGGTGCTTGATAGGGATTGTGTAAGAGGATTTGGATGATACGTAAGGTTCTAGTGAAATTTGGAGAATTTTTCTGGGATAAGGTCTAGGATAAATGTAGAGTTTGGTTAGTTACATAGAAAGGAGCATCGATAATTGTTCGAAAGACTTTTGACTGGAAGTATTGGATGCGTTTGATGTTAGAAAACTTTACTGTTCTCCACAGTTCTAGTCCGTAAGTCCAAATAGGTTTCAATATTGTCTTTTTTTTTTTTTTGGATCCTCCCCTTACTCGCCATTAAGGCTATACGGGATTTCCCATGGTCAGGGGGTGTGGGCGGAGATTTAAAAGACTATCTCGGCACCGGGACGCGAACTCGTGACTATTTTAAATCCATTGTTTCATAGATCAGGTTGCCGGGCAACGGCGGTGCTGTGCTCACACGTTAGCCTGTTCGGCCGCCCCGCCCACATTTTCAGTATTGTCATGTAGATCAGCAACTTGTTTTCAATAGAAAGCTTAGATTTTCTGTTTGGTAGTCTGTATAGTTGGCCGTATCGTCGGTTACGTTCCTGTCATTTAAGTCTAGTATGAGGATTCCACGTTAGTCTTATGTTTAAGAGAAAGCCAAGGTAGCGGACTGTATCTGAGATAGGAAGCTGGATGGTGTTAAAATAAACTGGAGGACAGTTAAGTTTATGTGTTTACATTTGGATTCCTTTATCTTAATGTGCCATTTCTTACACCACTGTTGAAAGTAGGGAGAGGTGCATTTGTGGATTTAATGACGCTGTTTTAGGATCTGAGTTGGTTGAAAGGATAGCGGTATCATTAGCGAATGTTGCCAGGAGGATATCAGGATGGGCAGGAATATCTGCGGTGAAAAGAATGTAAAGGATTGGACCCAAGACGCTGTCCTGCAGAACTCCCGCCTCAATTAAATGACAGTCGGAGAATTCAGTACCACAATGAACTTGAAAGGAGCGGTCAGAGAGGTAGGATCGAAGTGTTAGATATAAGGACTGTGGTAGATGGAGTTTAAGATAGAAGAGTAGTCCAGCTTGCCATACCCGATCGAAAGCCTGTGGTATGTCCAGAAATGCACCCGAACAGTATTGCTTCTTTTCTAGGACTCGACAACTCGGAGTCCTTGTTAGACAATGGAATGTTGGGAACGAAATCCGAATTGATGGGTCGGAATTTTATGATTTAAATCAAACAGGACTACGAAAATAAACTTTCTGTACAAAATTCAAGAATATTCTGATAATACATTAATTCACTTTCTTTAAGTTTACAAGCAAATATGCAAGAAGTTTTCTGTAAGTTGACATGTACAGGTGCATGAGGCGAAAATTTGATTCGTAATGGAAGACGCTCGACAACCATGTCAAGTTTTATTTCCATCAATACACATCCCTGTAGTCTCAACATACATTGTGTTGTAATGCAGCTGCTACAAAACACGGCAGGAACTATTATTTTGGCCTCCTTCATTACCAAGTATATTGTTTGCCTTTTCGTAGTCAATTCTATGAGGAGAGGGAGAAGAAGGGAATTCTATACATTTTTAGTCACTAGTGGATCCAGGATTTAATTTTTGGGGGCTTCAACCCTAAAGCTTTTTTTTTTCATGTATATAACGATAATTACTTTGGAAAAACAAATAAAGATCCTAAATAACTATATGAAATAGTGTTTAAGTGATTCTTGAAGTCCTATTAAATGCAATTACACGAACAATAATACTTGAAGATAGGGGTGCCCAGAAGGGGATTTCATGGCGCAAGTTGCTCCATCAAAATTTTTGAGGGGGAGCACACTTTGACGGAGTTTTGTATTTTTTAGGGGGACACTTTTAGACGGGATTATGGATCTTTGGAATGGAAAGTTTCAAAACAGGAAAAAAAGGAGAAAACATATCAATAGACCACTGTAAGTGTAACTGTATATGATCTAAGATTTTTAAATTCTACATCAGCTTGCACTGTTTAAGAAGAGGAAACCAATCAAATATCTTGGGAAGGAGGGGGAGGGGGTATTCTTGCGCCATCGACCTTTGGAGAGGGGAATGGGCACCTCTGCTTAAGAGATAATTTTTTTCTCCATAAAACATGGTTACATTTCACCATTTTGGGAGGGCTTTAGCCTGAAAGTTCCCCTCATAGATCCGCCTGTGTTTGTAATAAATTAAGAAGGTCTCATCTAACTCTCTCTTTTGGTCTGTTTTGTTCTTTGATGTTATACTGAAGAGTACTGAGGTCCTGATGGTTGAGCCTGTTAAAGCACTAACTTTAATATTCTGGAGTCTAGCATCACTGCTTAAAACTGACCTGGGGGGGGGGAGAGAGTTGAAATCTAATTTTATTATGGTGGATCCACAGATCCTTATCTTCTCACCATGGTTAAAATAGGTTTAACTGTATATATAAAACAACTTTCCCTCTCCTAAGCTAGAAATGGTTAAGGTGGGAGGTAATCCAAAAAAAAAAAAGGAAAATGCAGATGAGTTTGCTGTTTGTTTAAGCAACTCAAAATAATAGTAATAAGAGTAGCCATGCAATTTTGTTGTAATTTTTTCTTATCACATTTAATTTTTTTTCCCTTTAAAAATGTGTTATATTAAATTGTTATTAATAATCTTTGGATTTTTTAAGTTCATTTCATCCCCATCAGTAAAAAATGTTTATTTTAAAATATGCGATTGGATGTAATGAAGTGATGTGATTTTGGGTTTATTTTATTTTCCGTCTAGATGAGGCCTGAATTGGCATCATATTATTTTGTTCTTTACCTGTACTTATAGACACAATGCTGTAGAGTTAGAATTTTCCAATTATTAACTGATATAAATTTTCTGTCCGTTGTGTGGTTTATTTGTTTACATTAGTTTATTTAAACATATACATTGTAAAAATTATTCAAAATTAATAAAAGAAATTACAGTATGTTTAGCTATTACTCAGCATTATGGAACCATGAGGTTATAAAGCAGATGGTATTATTAATTATTTCTCAAACATGGTATTATTAATACATATAACTGTGGAAAGGAGGGAGGGGGGAAATATTGGGTTGGCAAATAAGTCCTTTCAGTTTTCTGTTTATTTTTATGTCACTATGATACATTTCTTATCTGATGAATTAATCCCTAAGGTGATTGTTTATCATGTTTGTAATATGTCAACAACTATATCTGTAAATTCTTATTGAAATTAGCTTAGTATTGTGTTTGGTATGGCACTGTGAATATGGAAGAAAATATCATTCATTATCAGCATATTTTGTTGTATTATTTTTAAAAAAGTAAGCGTGCTGGAGAAGCTTATACAAAAATTTGCAATGCTTACGGGAATGATGCCTGAACCGAACGCACCTGTCCAAATTGGTTTGCCTAATTTCATTCAGGAAATTTTGACATCAATGATGTTTAACAATCTGGTCGCCCACATAGAATTGAAATGAGCAATGTTGATCAAATAAGGCCATTGTTAATCAAAATCCCACCCAATCAGTGTGAAAGATTGCTATGGGCCTAAATGTGTCGCACACAAGTGTAGAAAACCATTTGTACAAGCTCGGATATGTTTTTAGACTTAATGTTTGGGTCCCTTACATGATTTTTTTTAGAAAATCACAAAAAATGTTATAACTTCAAAATGACTTTAGTTATCCTTCAAGGAATTTAGGACCACATAAACCAAACAAAATGACATCAACAGGACCTTCGTAAGCAAAAACTATAAATAGAGATAAAAAATAAAAACCTATAACGATTTTTTCTTTATTCCTCAAGTAGGCATTAAATCAAATAAACATTGATATGACTTTGAAGAGCAATAATTCAGCTTTCCAACAGATACAGTAACCAAATTTGAAAACATCGTGAAGAGTTATGAATGATCGGAAGGGTGTTGTGTTCCACCAAGACAATGCTAGGCTCAACACCTCATTGGTCACTAGCAATAAATTATTGAGCCTTGGATGGGACCTTTTACCACACTCTCCCTATTCACCAGACCTACCTCCAAGTAACTTCCACATATTCAGATCTCTGTAGAACTCCATGAATGGAGAAATTCCAAAAGGAAGAGGACATCAAAAACCATTTCGATCAGTTTTTTTTAACAATAAACTCCAGACATGCTATGAACATGGCATTATGCAGCTAGTGGAAAGATGGGAGAGGTCATATTAAATAATGGTCAATATATTGTAGATTAAAATAAATTTTATGACTACAATACATTGAGTTTTATTTCACCCTGAAAAGCTGAAAGGACTTATTTGCCAACCCAATATAATTTCTCACAGCCCCTAACCTGGTCATTGTATAAATACAGCTGTTGAACCTAACATTGATCTTCTTCCTTAGTGAAGAAAATCAAACCATAAATGGTATATTTAAACAATACACAGAGCTACATAAATTTTATTCTTAAACTAAAAAGGGGATCTTGTCTATAGGAATAAAATATTGCAGGTGTGGGTCTAGACCAGAGGTCTCCAGACTTGTTGGTCTGTGGGCCACATTGAGACTTCCACAAGACTCGCAAGCCGCGTTGAACCTCTTTTAAGTTCTGTGGACCATGCCCTGTGATGAAAAAAAATAATCTTGTTCTATAAATGACACTCAAGTTTTGAAATAAACTCTCTAAGAGAAAAACTGATGCAATAACCTCCTGTTCGGAAGATTTACTAAGGGTGATAAATATTCAGGATGCAATCTTTTTAAATTTTTTATTTATGGCAATGTTTCAACCCATACATATGGGTCATCTTCAGAGCTGACATTTTTTAAAAATACAATCAGAGATACAATCGTATACGACCGATAACGATAAATAATAAACTATAGTGATTGATGGTACATGAATCTTAACTAATATTGCAATACAAACTAAAAATTAAAAAATAATGTATATAATCCATTTATACAAATTTGTAATATCTTCTCTTACTAACCGTGGTTTGAGCACTGAGGGTGATTAAGTACTGACACATTTGGTAGGTAAGTGAAAAGATCAAGGGTGGGAGGAGGATTTCCCAGTTGTCCTTTTTCAGATAGCAAAAGGTAGGTAAACATAATCAGAGGGGAAGGGAGGTAATATTTATGTTTGTAGAATGTACATAATTTGCTGACTAAATATTTTAGATGTGTACAATATTTGCGTTGTTTCTTATGGTTACAGAAATGTGACTATTGGCTAGTAATGAAATGAACATAAGCAAGAGGTGCCTATCAATATAAATATAACTTAGGTTGATTAAGAACAGCTAATCACTTTCACTAATAAAAGAACAGCAATCTCATGATTTGATAAATATAAAAAGTTTGGATAAAAAAACTCCATTTTACATTCAGATAAAGAATCAGACTTTGAAATAGTTTATATTTAATTAAATCCATCCTTAACTGAGAGCAGTCTATGGTTGGAAATTAGTAATGACAAATTTTTAAGACAATCACACTGTTCTTAAAGCAATCATATAATTGATTCTTTAATGAATTGAAATAAATTAACAAGACCGTCCTTATTAATATAATGAGTTCCAGTCCACTGAAATAAATATGTGACTTGTATCCCCATGTCCTTCAGCCTATTAGCCATTCCTGTGATCCAGTTTGGAAAAGTAAGGAAGTCCAACGCTCCTCCGTACAGATAAAGGGGAGGAAGTCTCGGGCATGTATTATTTTCTTGAATAGATATTTCCTAAAACAGAATAATAGAGAGTCAATACTACATTTTTATCTGTTTAATTACAACTATATCAAATAAATAAAAATACTGACTACATAAATAAGGAAATTCTATCCACCCTAGGAGAATAATGTACTTTCATATCTACTTAGTATCTTGGTAGATTGATAGATAAATTGATATATACAAATATTTAAACTTGGTGTAGTAGTCTGGTGCCTACCATACACTAAATGAAACTCAAGACTCTTTTGTATATTGACATGCACCCGACAACTATTCCAAGATTAAAAATATATAGACATCAACCTTCCTAACAATTTGACAAGATGTTAAATAGATATGGAAGTAAATTCTCTTAGAGAGATAGAAGTTTCCGATTTCTTTAGTCGGTTTTGTTTATTTCAAATATTTTTTTTAATTGACCTTTTTAGTTTTTTGAATATTGACAATTTATATTCTAAACATATTATCAAGATCTTATGTACATATAATATTATATGAAGCCAATATAAATTTGTCAATACTTAAATAATAATAATAAAAAGCTTAGTGAACCCAAAGGTTCGATGCCAACACCACCAATCACTTATTACACACCTCCCTCCACCGTTCGCCATCCAAACCCAGTCCCTTCAGATTGGCTTTAATGCAATCTTCCCACCTTTGCTTCGGTCTACCCCTTGGACGCTTACCATTCGGCACAGCAAATATTAACCTTTTAGTAATTCTCTCGTTACTAAGCCCAACAACTTTACAAGCCCATTTGATTCGCCGCGATGAAATTACCTCAATTATATTACCCGGATACAGTCTCACGCAATTCGGCGTTGTGTAACCGTCTGAACTCTCCGGTTAACTCATCCTTCTTCGGTCCGAATATTCTACGCAATACTTTATTTTCAAAAACCTTAAGACGCTGCTCATCCCTTAATGTAAGCGGCCAAGTTTCGCATCCATAAAGAACTGTAGGCAAGATAATTGTTTTATAGATTCTAATTTTTAAGTTTCGGGACAAGAGGCGCGAACTAAGTAGTTTTGTCACAGAAAAATAACAAGCATTTCCCGCCTTCAGTCTAACCTTAATCTCTTCTTCAATTTCGTTTTTCTAGTTATCGTAGAACCTAGATACCTAAATTTCTCTACCTGTTCAAACATATTTCCATCTATATCGATATCACCAGTAGTATCGCCTTTTTTGCAGCTAACCATATATTTTGTTTTATCCACGTTTATTTCGAGTCCTAGTTCTCTAAAGGCTTTCATTAACGTTGTCGTATTTAGTTTTATAGTTTCAACGTCTTCGCTTAACAGTGCCAGATCATCAGCATAGCCCAGCACGGATGTTGTCCCGCCCAGATCCAACCCTTTCTCGGTTCGCATTACCTCCCTAATGGCATGTTCTAATGCCAAATTGAACAGGACAGGCGAAAGAGAATCCCCCTGTTTTAAGCCCGAACGAACCTCAAATTTTTCGGACAAATTATTACCGATTCTAACTTTATTGAGTGTCTCCGTCAAGCACATCCTGACTAGATTTACTAGTTTTTTTGGAATCCCCTGCTCGATTAGAATATTATACAGTTTCTGGCGGTCAATAGAATCGTAAGCCTTTTTAAAATCTATATACAGCTGGTGAACAATACCGTTATACTCCAATTTTTTCTCTAATATTTGCCGTAAAGAAAATATTTGATCAATAGTCGAACGATTCCGTCTAAATCCGCATTGGTAGTCTCCGATAATTTCCTCGGCGTATTCCGTGATTCGACTGGTTAAGATTAAAGTGAATATTTTATAACATACCGGAAGGAGTGAAATTCCTCGATAGTTATTACAATCCGTCCTCGGACCCTTTTTGTGAATCGGAATAAGAATAGATTCTTTCCATTCTTCAGGTAATTTCTCGTTCACCCAGATCTTTTTAACCAACCGATGTATTTTAGAAACTCCAGCTTCCCCGCATGCCTTAATTAGTTCAGTAGGAATATTATCGATTCCCGCTGCTTTATATGATTTTAATTTTCCGATAGCTACTTCAACTTCCTCTTTACTTGGTCCTTCTATTAACGTTTCAGCACTCTGGTACTCAGAAGGAGGACACAGATCATAATTTCCCGTATTTAAAATATTGTCAAAGTGGTCCTTAAACTTATTCAATATGTCAACCGGATCGGTCGGAATATTGTTATTATCATCCCTAATTCCAGACGTTACGGGCCCTACACATTTATGTGATCTGGTTATACCTTTGTATATGTCTCTTACGTTATTTTGGATTCTATTAGTTTCTATTTCAATTATTTTATTTTTAAGATACTCCCTTTTTTTATTTTTGAGCAACTTTGTCGTTTCGTTCTTTGAGGTTCGGAAGTATTCCAGATTGTCTTCGCTAGGATTATTTAGAGCTTTTAATTTAGCGGCTTTTTTTTCGCAAATGTTTAAGCAATCTTCATCAAACCACGGTTTGTTATTCTTATTTTCCTTTTTTCCTAGACACAAGTTACCGACCACTTTAATATTATCCCTGATGTCTACCCATAACTTGTCAATATCCTCGTGTTCCTCATCTTCAAACCTATTCTTAACATCTAGCTCGAATTGGGTTCTAATTGATGGATTTTTTAATTTTTCCAAATTAAAATTCTCAAAATCGAAACGGTTTTCTTTTCTCTTTTTTATATTAAGTTTTTGTTGAAGTTTCGCGATTACTAATTCATGATCCGACCCACATTCTGCTCCGCGATAAGACCTTACATTAATTATACTGCTTTGCCAGCTATGTTGTATCAAGACATGATCGATTTGATTTCGTGTTTGAGAATCCGGTGATGTCCAAGTATATTTATGATTATCCTTATGTTTAAACGTCGTACTTTTAATTATCACATTTTTCGAGATGGCAAAGTTTATTAGACGGATCCCATTATCATTACTATATTCGTGCAAACTTTCTTTACCAATCGTCGGAATATAAACTTCTTCCCTTCCTACCTTTGCGTTCGCGTCACCTACAATTATTTTCATGTAGTTTCACGGTAGTTTATCATAAACCCATTCGAGTTTATCATAAAATTCACTTTTGACTTCATTGTCACTGTCTTCGGTTGGACAATGTATGTTTATTAATGCGATTTTAAACCAACGTTCCTGAAATATAGCTACTGAAATTCTATCACTAAAGAATTGTAAATCCCTCAAAGCGGATAGTAATCTATTCCTAATTAGATGTCTGGTACCTAAACAATGATTCCCGCTTCCTCCGTACCAAATATTGTACTTTCCTTCCCTCATCGAGCCCTCCCCTATCCAGCGAACCTCTTGCAGAGCCAAGACATCCAAATTGTACCCATTTACCTCATTCGCGACCGATTTTAGCCCCCTTGCTGTGTTTAAACTCCTTACCTTCCTAGTACAAATATTTAAATCCCTATTTTTCAACTTTCGCCATGAATCCCCTAAAGCAGTCCTCACCCGGAGACCTGAACAGGGGACTAGTTTACCTCCGGATAGTGAGCGTTTTACCTTAGGGAGATCCATGACTATTTGTGGTGTTTGGTGAAGTAAAGATATGTGAGTAGGGCATTCAATCCTACGTCACACCCTCCAGCAAGTCTGGTGGGCCCCTACCTGCAGCAAGTCTGGAGGACCCCTCTCATTGTCATTGTTGGTCAGCGAGTCCATCGAACTTAACTGGGAGGAACTTCCAAGGAATCCCCACATCCGTCACCTGTGGGGCGCTCCCCATACGCGGTAATGAGCCTGCGCGAGGTGTGAATACTTAAAATATAATAAAATATTTTTTCGGTATTTTGAACTCAAATTATTTCAAAACATTCACAAGATCTTACTGAACCATTCAACTTAAAAATTGGTCAAGTCGTTTGCTCAACAGGTCGGTAAACATTTTATACAATGATTTGTCATTGTTTTGAGCTCTAATTGTTTAAAAAAAACTCATGGGATCTATGAAAAATTTGGACCATTTAACATAAATCGTTAGAGTCTTTTTTAAGAAAATCGTAAAAATGTGTAACATCGTTAATATAAAATTCCACTTCCGGATAGCCAATTTCCAGGATCATTATACTTTCCCTTACTAAATATTAGATACATAGGTAAGTGAAAGTAAAAGTTGTTGCTAACAATCAAAAATGCATGTACTTACATTGTATACGTTAGAACTAGAGGATATGTAGGAAGAGATGGCTCCAATACATCCTAATTTTTTAACATATCCATAGCCAAAGTATATAGACATCATCCCACCAGAAGAATAGCCAGCTGCAAGATAAAATGTCATAAATATTTACATTGTTTAAGACGTAAATTCCATAATGATGCAGATAACACATGGTAACAATTAATAGCTATAAAAAATATTTGAATTAAAAAAAACTGACAATGGAAATTGGGAAATCCTATCTACCTAAGGGAATGTACTTCTACATCTACATAAACATCATGGTAGATTGATAGGAAAATTTGCATGTACAAATATTTAAACTTGATGTTGTTGGGCGTCTACTCCATCCCATTGAGACTCAAGACCCCATCGTATATTGACATGTACCGATATATGGAACGAAATCGATTTGCCAGGAGGTGTCAGGGATGCCCATCCCTCTCCCCCCCAAGGTCAATGGCACAAGAATATCCCCCCTCTCCCAAAATATTTTATTGCTATCATCTTCTTAAATAGTGTAAGGCTAAAGTAGAATTTAAAAAATCTTAGATCATATACAATTACACTTATAGAAATCAGTTATATGTTTTTCCCCTGATTTGAAACTTTTCATTCCCAAAATTCATAACCCCGTAGAAATGTGTTCCCTCAAAAATATAAAGCCCTGTCAAAATGTGCCCCCCTCAAAAATTTTGAGGGCGCAACTTGCACCATGAAATCCCCTTCTGGACACCTCTATAATGTGTAATGAAAGGCACCTGACAGCCACACCAAGTTTAAAAATACATTGATATTAATTTTCGAATATTTAATAGTTGACCGTTGCATTATAGAGGAAGGAGATCTCCCGGAGTGGCTGTCATAAATAGGCTAAATAGTGGCAAAACTATTTTATTAATAGCCAACGTTTTGACCCGACTTTATAGGGCTTCTTCAGGGCTAGAATCGACAAGAAACAAAAAGATATAGAAAGTTACATAATATTCAGATAAAAAATTAAAAACAATGTGAATAAGTTTATTAAAATTTAAACAGTAAGTACATTAAAATACAAACAGAGTAAGCCAAGTAAGAAGATAACAAGATTAAACTGAAGTAAATAGATGGTAACAATTGTTGTAGTGTAATATATAATATATGCAAATGTGAATATACTTCTGCAGTTCTACAGGAGAGATTGAAAGAAAAGAAAAAGCTAGAAAAAAGATTTTTCTTTTCTTTCTCTACATTCCTTTATGTCTATTATTTTATATTATATCCTTTTTCCTTTTCTTTAAATCTCTCCTGTAGATCTGTAGAAGTATATTCACATTTGCATATATTATATATTACACTACAACAATTGTTACCATCTATTTACTTCAGTTTAGGATCTTGTTACTTAGCTTACTCTGTTTGTATTTTAATGTACTTACTGCTTATAATTTTATAATAAGCTTATTCACATTTTTTTTTAATTTTTTGTCTTAATATTATGTAACTTGCACAATTCTCTATATCTTTTTGTATCTTGTCTGTTCTAGCTCTGAAGAAGACCTGAAAAGTAGGGTCGAAACGTTGGTTTTTAATAAAATAGTTTCGCCACTATTTAGCCTATTTATGACCGCCACTCCGGACCATCTCCTTCCTTTATTAATTTTTCTTACACGTAGGGAAATAAATCCCCTGAAGTTAAATAATATATTTAACATAACATATATAATTTAACTTAAAAATTGGTCGTCGTTTGCTCAGTAATTCATTAGATACATAGTGCGGGCAGGGTGGCTGAACGGGCTAAGGCATGTGCACAGCAACCTGATCCAGTCATTTGCTCAAGAAATCGTTACATACCTTTAAGCAAATTGATTAAACACATTTTATTCAATCACAGAAGAGTGTTTTTAGTAAAAATTGTTTCAAAACTTTCAGGTGGACTTACCGAAAAAATTGAGCCTTCAAAATTAAAAATTAATCCAACAATTTGCTTAAAAAATAGCTTTATATAGCTTTTAGCATACAACCTAAACACAAAACCCTCATGTCACTTTGCTTAATTGGGTGATAAGTATGAATATTATGGTTAGTTAAGATAATGATAATCACTATTTTTGAATAATAGGGATTGAACTTTATGTTCAAGTCAGTTGTAATATGATTGACATTTTTATTTTTCTGTTCTTTTGGAACTAGAACTATTTAATAAGGAACTTTTTAATAAATGTGTTTCTAGAAATTTATAATTTAAAAATTATTATTGAAAACATTTCATTTTTCAAAGTAGTAAATAAAAAAATTGGTAATTAGACTGAACATTCTTACTTTTTTACAAATGTCAAACAAATCTAAGACAAAAATTAAGTAATACGTTGAAGATGAATTATATACAGCTCAAAAATGAATAGAGATATTGTTAATTATACATATTTATTTTCCTTAGAATTTTGAAATTTCTATTTATGATTCCTTAGATTGTATTTGACCTTGGAAATTTGATAAAAAGTGTTTTAAAAAAATAATGAAATATTCTTTTTTCTGTTTTGTGGGAAGTTGTATGTTATTCTATGTTATTTAGCAACGATAAGTTCCAATTAAACAACATGGCAGACACCCAATAATTGGTCTAAAAGCATGATGTTGCTCTGGATATTATATACCTTAATTTATTATAATATGAATTTAGAACCTGACAATGAAGTAGATTAGATTTAAGGTAATTACAAATTTAATGTACCAACCCAATTCTGACATGTATTGTAGCGTGCATTGTAGTACTATATTTTAACTCAAATTTTTTAGCCATATATCAACAAAAAAACATTGGGATTGTAGTTCTGAAGATAGGAGTAAATATCCCGAAACATTAACATTTAAACATATAATTTGGAAATACAGCAAATAAATTTAATAGTTGTTTAATTGGAAGTCATCATTTCCAAATAATAAAATAAAAGGTTTATGTGATGTTGATGTGATTGCGAATTGTAAACATTTTGTAAAATTTAATAATTTGTGTTGTATCCTCTGTTACGCACTACCTCTCTGCATCTATGGAGAATACTGTTTATAATATTTCACTGATTTCGCAAGGAATTTCATACGGTAAACATGGTAATACTGCACTCAATTGCTGAAGGTTGATAAGCTGCAAATGGTTGTCAAAAAGCCTTCTCTGCAGTTCATCCCACATGTCCTCAATGGGATTGAGGTCTGGAGACAATACGGGAAGGGGCAGATCTGAAATAGCCAAAGTTTCAAGATATTGATGAACAACTTTGACCCCTATGAGGCTGCCTGTTGTCATCAAGAAAATGGAAATCTGTGCCAATTATGGCCATGGTTTGAGAAATGTACTCATCTATAATATCTTGAGCATAACAAACTTCAATGATATTATGTTCCATAATATGGAGTAGAATCTGTCCTCCTGAGTAGATTGCACCTCTGCACTGCATTAAAATTAAAGAAATTACAAACTCTAGTAGCGTACCCATCCTCTGTTCTCAGTAGATTCTTCAGTGCCTACAATCTCTATAAATAGAGAAGTGCGACTTGAACATAACAGCATTATAAATTGTATCTTCATCTAGGGGCTTGCTGCACTATGACCTGCAGAGTTGCTAGTGATGCACTGTTGCTGCAGGTCGTCTTAAAGGAGCGTAAGATGTTAGACCAATTAACAAATATTTGGCAGGATATTCAACACTTTATCTAGGTTCTATCAGGCACTTTTTTTTTCTTGTTCTTCCCTACCTCTCCTTTTAGGCTATAAAGGATGTTCCCGGGCCGGAGGGTGAGGGCTGGGAATTTAAAATCCCCTCCAGTACCGGAACGCAAAATTGTACTTTTTTTTAATCTCATAACTTCGGTTAACTGGTTGCCAGACAACTCCCGCATTAGGCCATTCGGCCACCCCACCCCACAACTCTGTCAGGCACTAAGAAAAGGGTTGTTTCTTACAGCAATACTAACATTTCTGTCATCACTTGGGGTCATAATGCATTGAGATCCACTAACAGGTCTCCTATTGGTACTTCCAGTTTACCTGAATCTGGCTAAAGCCCGGTAGACCACAGTTTGGGAGCCGCCAACTGCATCGGCGATATCCATTTGCCACTGCCCTTGATCACTCATTCTCATGATATTATTGCAAACTTCTGATTTAAAATTGTATCTTTCCACAGTTAAATATAATATTACTGGATTATAGTTGAGAAAATTCTAAAACAACTATTGGTATACATGATGATTATTCTTAATGTTGACTATCCTTTAGTTAAATATTTATTAAAAAATTAAAATTATTTGTTTACTTTTTATATATTATACCAGCAAAGAAAAGAATCCCTATGTAACAAAAAAAAAAAAGGGTATTTTAATTAAAACGAATAAAATAAGCATCAAATAGAAATATTCCTATTCATTTTTGAGCAATATATATTATATTTGTAATCTAAACTTACTTACATATGGTTTATTTATTCTTTATTGAAACTTATTTAATAAATAAAAGTTAACTTTTTATAGCAAAATCAAAATTGTATCCTGAAATTTCCTGAAACTTTATGCAATAAAATTCTGGGTTTGTTGTAAAAATTTAACTTTTATTTATTTAAGTTTTAAGCCCATAAAGGTTTCAAGTTCAACAAAAATGACAGGATATAGAATTGCAGTGAGTGAATTAATGTATTACTTCATTGAAAACAGGGCAAATTTAAAAAATAAATAGAAAAGTAGAAATAAGTACAACTGATTTGTGATCGTATTTTAAAAATAAAATGTAAGCTAACATATTATACCCAAGCAAATATTCCTGTGAGGTATTCCTGCAGCTACTTGTTCCTCTATAAGTCTTTCAATTTGTTTTGCAGAATTTTCCATTTCATCAGAATTAAAACTATAATTTTCAACAAGTGTGGTAAAACTGAACCATATATTTAAAATCTAAAATCATAGAAAAAGTTAGTTATATTATGAAAACGAAATTAACTGGTTGTTAAAATAAACAATTTAAAAGTTGTTAAAATACAGTCCAGTATAACCTTCTACATCATAAGTTCCATCAAATGGTGGTAGAAAATTTCTTTTTTTTTTGTTTTCATACAAGAAAGTGACTGAGATACAAATTACAAATTTTTGACCTCAGTCCCCCTCCCTATCACTTTTGAATATTTCAAAAAATGGTACATTTTCGCACTTTCTTTGATTTTTTCCTATTTTGATCATGAAGTAGCACATGTTGGGCAAAAAACATACGGTAAATTTATAAACTAGATTAAATTTACTAGAATAGGCTTGGTAGACATAATATATTTCGAAATACAGATTTTCAAAATTTGGGAAATTTTCCGAACTTGAAAATTTTAAGCTATAATAATTTTCATGTTTTATCATACACAATTGTCTTTATAACTTCAATTATCTGTCTGATACGAGTCATTGAAATAAACATTTATTCAATTTAATATTTTGAAGGGAGGTAGAAGAAAGATTTGTTAGTGAACTGGAGTTTACTGATCACTACCAGATGATCAACTTCGAAATACAAAATTTATTTAAGAAACCTTTATATCAAGTGTATACCAAAACTATAAATGAAATGAATGAAAATTTTAACGCAATGTGAATTGAAGGTGTCTCTATTTGAAGGACCAGGATCAAGCAAATCCATCAATTGAACTGCTTCAGTGCCATATTTAGTGTCCTTGAATTACTGAAAAGGAATTAAAATATTTATTTGTTGAATATCAAGATAAAAACTTGTCAAGAAATCTTTGTGAAAGATTATATCATAATACATAATATGGATTGATGCTATGGAGCAAGTGGATTAAATGACATTGAGTAAAAAGGAACCAACCCACATTATACATAATTTGGTTCAATTCAAGTCAAAAAGTTAAGTGGTGTTAGAAAATCAAATCCCTTTAAGTAATTTTCTTTTTATAACAGAGCCACATTTTATCCAACCTAAAATATTGCTATAATAAATTTATTACTATTATTACGGCACAACGGTCCTACAAAAACCCAGGCCACTACTATTCTCCACTACTGCTTACTGATCTCCACGATCTTGAGCTATCTCCCTCCATCTTCGAAAACACATCAGCCTCAGACCGCCATCTGATCCGAGGGTATCCTCTACTTTTCTTGCCATCCAGCTTCCCATAGGGATCCTCTTTGGCATCCTTCGGTCCGGCATTCTCTTCACTTGTTCTTTCCATCTTATTCGGGCTCTTTTTACCAATGCCACAATGTCAGGTTCCACAAACAGATCATGCAGCTCCTCATTCCTTCTTCTCCAAATCCCATTCTCAGCAACTCTGCGTCTTATTCTTCTCAACACTTTCTCTCCCAGGAGTTGAACATGTGTCCTGATTTTCTGGAAAATAATAGGTTCATAAACAAATAATTTTATTGTAATTTTTTTTTTTATATAGAAATGTCACCTTCGATTTCCAATATTTTTTCAACTTTGATTTTCAATCAAGAGTATCTGAACCAAGAAATAGTACTCTATGTATGTTTCTCATAAACAACATATAAAATCTACCACTGTTTTTTTCTTAGTACTGCTCTTTTCTGATGATGAAGCAAACTAAACTTTCAGAATTGGAGGCTTTCAAGGCTGAAGTCCTACAAAATGGATATTTTTACATTGGTCCATATTTGTTACTGTGAGTGATCTAAGCTAAATATTTAAACAACCACAATATGTCCTATTTTTACCTGAATAAGAGAAGCGACATGAGGACATGTATTTGGGTCGTCTGGCAAACACTTTTTTTGTGGAAATGGGTTGACCAATTTTTAAATTTGATGGCTCAAATTATTTGGCGAGATCCCCTCAGTTTTATGTTCATATAAGTTCAGGATTTTTTTGCCTTGACAGTATCTATTTTAGTTTAAAACTTTATTTGTAGAGAAGCTTTCAGTGTCTGTGCACCATATTCATCTATATAATTATAATACTCCAATTAGGATAAATTAACAGTTATTTAATAAGATTAACAATATAAGGCAGTGCATAATTTTTGAAATGTCATGCAATCATTATCAGATCATACCTTTTATTAGTTTTGCCTATTTAAAAAACATAAAGGATAAGAACAGTGTTCTTTTTCTTTGTCTCATGTCAGGTTTCTCTAAGAATAGGACTCCTCTTTGTCGAACACCATCTTACTGAGAGCAGAAGTAGCTTAAATTTAAATCTAAATCTAAATCCTAATTGGAGTATTATAATTATAGAGATGAATATGATGTACGGTCACCGAAAGCTTCTCTACAAAAAATCCTGAACTTATAATAAAATTATTTTTTAATGACCCAATTTTTTCCAGAAAATCAGAACGCATGTTCAACTCCTGGGAGAGAAAGTGTTGAGAAGAATAAGTGGCAGAGTTGCTGAGAATGGGATTTGGAGAAGGAATGAGGAGCTGCATGATCTGTTTCTGGAACATGACATTGTGATATTGGTAAAAAGAGCCCGAATAAAATGGATAGAACATGTGAAGAGAAATCCCGACCAAAGAATGACAAAGCGATGCTCTATGGGAAGCTGGGATAAAAATTTCCATCTTCATTTAGGTGATCACTGCACCATAAACTACATTGGTATTGGTGACACACTGTTGCTGCATGTCAACATAAATGGGCATAAGATGTTACACCAACTTCTCACAAACCTGCCTTGGCAGAACATTGGACACTTCACTTGGGCGCTGTTGAGCACAATGAAAAATATTGCTTCTCGCAGTAATAACAATATTTTGGTCATTCCTTGGTGTCATAATGCACTGAGGTCAACTAACAGGTCCAGTATTGGTACTTCCAGTTTTTCTAAATCTTGCTAACGTCTAGAAGGCCACAATTTAGGAGCAGCCAACTGCACTGGGGATATCCACTTGCCAGTGCCTTTGACATATTTTAACTAACAAAAATAAAATAAGCATCAAATAGAAATATCCCTATTCATTTTAAAGGAGTATATATTATATTTGTAATCTAAGCTTACTTAATTTAATTAGGTATGGTTTATTTATTTTATATGATATTTACCTGGCCATTCCATGGAAATCCTGGAAGCGGAACTGCTTTTGCTGTTGGAAATATCAATCTTGTAGTAGGAAATTGAGAAAAGTTGCCTATATTGCTTTCCACAACTTCTCGAATTTGGGGACCACTACCTCCTGGAAAAAAAGATGAAAATTCAAGCAATATCTGCATCATACTTCCTTAATTCCATATAAAAAATATTGATTGAGACATAGTAATTTATAACCAAATGAAAATAGGCACTGTTCACCCCGTAACTCTATCAAAAAACACACTTTTCAGTATTTCAATTCATAATTACTGATACAACAGAACAGTTTTTAAAAATTACTTTTTTTTTACTTAGGTTTGCAAAAAGTTTGAAGTAAGATCTCAAGATCTGTAAAATTTGTTTGTTTTCTTGTTTTATTTTTGTGAGAGCAAGCTAGTTATTTAGAGAAGATGCCCAAATGGTATGAGTTTCCATTTTTAAGTTCCTATCATTAATTAAAATATTGATATAGATGTAAATTAGTAATAAATATACATACCTCAAATTTAAACAGATCAAACTAATTAAATTTAAATCTAAATCTAATCTAAATCTAAATCCTAATTGGAGTATTATAATTATAGAGATGAATATGATGTACGGAAACCGAAAGATTCTCTACAAAAAATCGTGTACTCTACAAAAAGCTTTTCTACTCCCTTAACCTCTTCGTAGTACCATTTGTTCCTACTCATCACACTTGCTGGTCTGATACATGGCTGGACCTGTTTATCATCGATTCTGCACAGAATCTTTTGTGCTCGTCCCAGCTACCTGTTCCCTTCCTCTCTTCACATGACCTCATCCAACTATCATACAATATCCAGACCCCTGCAATCCTTCCTAAAACAATAACCTTCTGCAATATAAATTCCATAACCCGTGAAAGCATCTTACCCGATATCGAAACCCTGAATTGGAATGATGTTTACACCAGCTCCTCAATTGATACCATGGTAGATATCCTGACTTCTAATCTCCTCCATATCCTCAATGCCCATGCCCCACTTAAAACCTCTATATTCCGCCGCCAGCCTGCTCCTTAGATGTGTCAAGAAATTCAAAATATGCAAAAGAGACATGAGGCAGCCTGTAGACGCTTTAGAAGAACCAGGCTTGCAGATGACTACGAAGCGTTTAGAGTACTCTGTAAATTGACGCAAACAACGATCAGGCTGGCGAAAACCAATTACTATCATGAAGCCTTCTCCTCGGCTCCCGATTCCAAATCCAAATGGAATTTACTCCGAAAGCTGTCTCTTTGCAAATTATCTTCTTCCACAGCTGTCCCAGTCTCTCCTGATGCTTTAAATTCCTACTTCTTATCCTCCTCCTCCAGTAATATTTCTCCCGCCTCTTCTCATATATCTGTATCGTCTGCATTTAATATTGACAATTTTTATTTTTCCTACATCACTCCTACGAACCTTATTTCCTCCATAATGAAATCCCAATCCGACTCTATAGGAATGCCCATCAAACTGTTAAAATTATGCCTCCCTGAAATCCTTCCAGTTCTTCTATTCATTTATAACTTTTCTCTTCAAAATTCTGTTTTCCCTACATCTTGGAAAAAAGCCTTAGTTCGTCCTATTAACAAAATCCTTAATCTCACATCTCCTAAAGACTATCGTCCAATTTCCATCCTCTCAAATCTGTCAAAACCCCTCGAAAGAATTGTCCAATCCCAAATTTCCAATTTTCTCGAAGAGTTCAAACTTTTAGATCCTCTCCAATCTGGCTTTCGTCTGGGCTTCTCCACTCAATCCGCTTTAGCCAAAATCCCAAACGACATACATACTGCAATTGACGAAAGAAAACTGACTGTATTGGTACTCCTGGACTTCTCCAAAGCATTCGATTCCTTAGATCATTCTATCCTCTACACTAAATTAAAATCACTATCCTTCTCCAATAGTTCTATCCTATGGTTCCAATCCTTCCTTTCTGACAGGACTCAAGCTGTTAGTATTTCGAATCAACCCTTATCTTATTTCCTCACTTTGTCTCATGGAGTAGCCCAGGGTTCAAGCATTTCTCCTATCCTTTTTAATTCTTACATCAATGACCTTCCTAGTTCAATTCACCATTGTTCATACCATCTATATGCTGATGACTCCCAAATTTATCTTTCCTTTCCGCCCACTGAGTTATTAGAAGCGTTTATGAATATTCAGAAAGACCTAGATAGGATCAGTGCCTGGGCAAGCTTGAATAATTTAAACTTAAATGCATCAAAAACTCAGGCAATTTTTATAGGTTCCAACTCCCTCCTTAGATCCATCTCTCCCCTTCCTTCTTTGATTATTAATGACCAACCAATCTCCTTCTCCCCCTCTGTAAAAAACTTAGGAATTACCATTGATCAAAACCTATCATGGACACCCCATATTGCTCATATCTCCAGAAGGTCAATTGGTACACTTAAACTATTTCATCGTTCTCGTCAACATCTCCCACAACCTATCCGCAAGCTCCTCGTTTCCTCATTGATTTTCCCCTACTTTGACTATGGCTGTGTGGTATATGGTGGCCTCTTGTTGGAGCTTGAGGACAGACTGAAGAGAATCATGAATTTTTTTTTAAGATTTGTCTTCGGCACTTTGAGATGGTCTCATGTGTCCCACCTGTATTCCGAGTCAAAGTGGCTCTTCTCTCTTCCCGCCGACTGTACTTCCTTGAAAATTTCTTATATCAAACGATCAACTCCCAGCACCCTTCCTATATCTACTGTCTCCTCAAGCCGAAACCTTTAGTCCACTCAATAAAAACGAGATCCCGCGATTCTGACCTCTATATTCCATTACACAAGACAAAAACCTATGAACGTTCCTTCTTAGCCCGCTCCGTCACCTATTGGAATTCTTTGCCACATAACATCCGTCATGCCTCTTCACTGTCAACCTTCAAATACCTCTTTTTCCAATATCTCCTCACATCCCAAACAGACGATTCACAACCATAAATTTCATTTTATGAACTGAATTTGTGAGAAGTAAATGGTGATGCCTACAGTTTAAGTTTTACATAAAACAGCAATGATTTTTACTATTTATCTGTATTTCTCATCACCTCAGGTTGTGCTTTTTCTTTCATGTATATATGTTTATATTTTATACTTTTGTCTCACTGTGTAGCAATATGAGTAAGTTCGTATATATAGTTCCTTTTTTACCTTTATACCACAATTATTTCTGAGATTTTATTTTATCTTAGTGTTTGCTTATTATTGTATGAATCACTGTAAATATTATTACATTTTGTATTAAATTATGTTTCTATTATATAGCCTATTGTTTATAAATTGTGCAGTTATGTATATATAGATATGTAATTTCTTTTCTGTCTTTTTTTTTAATCGTAATAAGAAGTAAATTTGGAGAAGATTGTATGTTCATTTATATATGTATGTATGTGTATGTGTGTGTATGTATATATGTATGTGTGTGTATGTATATATTTATATTTATGTGTATCTGTGTGTATGTATATATACATATATGTGTATATTTTTTTTGTTTATTTCTTAGTGGTTACATACTACTTTTTAAATAATGTATATTATGTTAGAATTTTTATAAGTTAGTTTTTGGCCAGATTGGTATTTTATTTTGTATTAATTCATCTTTGTTATTCTAAGGGGACTTAGTCCCAGAATAAAGTTCTATTTTCTATTCTATTCTATTCTATGTGAATTAAAGAAATACCCTAGATGAACAAATTAAATTATTTTTCATAGGTGATAAATAGCCAGGATGCAGTCATTTTAAAATTTTTATTATTGCCGACGTTTCAACCCAAACATGTGGGTCATCATCAGAACAAGTTATTACTTGATTGATAACACCTTCAGTACTGTAAACATGCCCTATTAATATGTCCTGACTATTTATCGCCTATGATATGTAGAATAGCCAACTAACTTCCTTCAATAAATTATTTTTCAATTTCAATAGTTTCTGTAAATGTTGAACTATAAATTTTTACTCATACCTGCTCCATGTAAAAATATCACAGCTGATGTTGCTTTCTGAGCAGGCTCCACTATTTCTGTAACTTGTTCATTTGGATTACAGCAATAAAGTCCAAGGGAACAAGTTATAACACACATCAGTATTGTTAACATGCTTGTACAGGTCTGCAGCATCCATGTCAATCATCAATACTTTTTAGGTTTTTATAAAATCCATTAATTATAAAAAATATGAATCATGTATGATGTACATAATGTGGTTCATTGTTTCTTGAGAATATTTTCCAAGCATTCAATACGTTTGTAACAGGAAATTTAAATTAATTTACAAAAAATATTCAAAGGTCACTTTAATTTTATTCCTGAGGTAAAAAAAAAAATAAATTTATTATAACAAGAAAATTTAGAAATATAACTAAAGAATAGGCTTAATTATTAAAATTTATTGGGTCATAAGTAAGAAAAATGAATACCCATTCAGGCATCTGCAGGGTAATTCAAACTATAAGACGATTTTTTGTGATTATGCATATTTAGAGAATTGAGGTGTCCAGTACTTAAAAACTAGTCAAATGTAACAAGGACAACAAATCAAGCATAAGAACAGTCTTGTTAATTTTTTTATATACTTGCAAAAGAGTTCTTAAATAAATATTGTTTTATGCACACTAAAGAGTATAAACATATATTATAAAATACTAAAACTGTTCCTACAGGGTTTGTAGAAAGTTGTCTAGAAATAATTGTTTAACCAACTGTATGGGAGGTAGCAGTAGGTGCTTCAATAGTATCATAAAAAGACTTTGTTTCATTCAAAAACTGACTAGATAATAAAGAAACATTCGAAATTTAATTGAAGCTAAATTAAACTTTTAACCCAATATAAGAAGGAATTCTTTTTCACCAAGCTGTCAAAGAAATGAATTTATCAGGTATTAATCTAGTCGATCTAGTCTAACACAAAAATAATGCAATATAATAATAGAACTATTTATCTAATTAAATTATTATTTACATTTTTACAAAACATGTTAATTTTACACAAATTAATTAAAAAATATTAGTAGTCTATGTACATTTATAGCATATATAATGTATATGTATATTTATAGTATATATATTGAATTACAGTAAAAGTTTCATCTCCAGATTCACCTAGGTTAAAAGTACAAGTTTTGGTTTGTCTACAACCTAATTTTAACTCTTAAAAAAGATTCCTTGAGTGAGCTTCTTATATTAATGATCATATAATTTTGGATGTTATTAAAAATTAAATAATTTGATCAAGAACTATATCATATTTTTTAGAACAAATATTTTCGTTTATAATATTTTATTCTATTTTATAAATATTTTACCTTTTTTACAAATTATAAAATGTACAAAAAATATATTCATAGGTTAAATAACTTAGGTTATAGTCAGTTCTATAAACTTGAACAGCCCCTCAATTGCGGATTTGGTCAGCATATGAGTAGTTCCTGACATGACCTTCAGAGAAGTGGGTATTCCTGCAGACCTAAACAGTTTGACAGTGCTTTCTACCCATGATACCCTAACTAGTGGATCCAAGGTACCTATGGAAAAGTAGATAGGAGGTAATTGTCTACTAAAACCTTTCGATGTCGTCAGCAGTCTCTGTAACAATAAAATAATATTGTTTCAAAATAAAGTGATTATTGGATAAATAGTTATAATATTGTTCCAACATGATGCTCGATTAATGGAGTATTTCATCATTCATAATGGTACTGTAAGACCAAGTACAGGCTGAGAAGAGCAAGGGAGCACAAGTTCTCTATAAAAATAAAATAGCACAAATCAAGAGGCAGCACTATGTTATCACAGTGGCCTATGTAAAACCACAGTCCTGCTCTGTGTCTTACTATGTACTCAATCTCAAGTTTAAAAATTTAAATATATAACTTTGTAGAAAGATTAATTTTTCCAGGAAAAAAAGAATACAGGGTGATTTGTAATAAAAAACATTAATCTTTGGAAGTATTACTATACGTTAATTCGCATGGAAAGTATTACTGTACATTAATATGAAAATAATGGAGTCTATATTTTAATATAAGTTTGGAATGTCATAGTTTTATTTGTAAGTATATATTATATCTGTAAGCATGCATGCATGCAATATGATAAATGATTTTTACATTCATCAAGTGAAAATCCACTAGATGATGTATGTAATGTGGCAAAGTACTGAATTCATAACAAGCAAGGATTGGGTGCATTTATCCATGAAGCCCCCAAGATTTGGGAATTGGCCATAAGTGCTGTCTATTCTAGTGTTTTATAAATGAGAAATAAAAAAATTAAGAATTTCACTTTTGACAGTTTGAAAAGAGAAGGGTGGTATATTAAAATTGTGGCAGTTGCTTTATTTAGAAAATATTGAATATTTCTGCATTTTTATTATTTAATGCTATTTGTATTTGCTGGAAAATATATGCAAATTTTTGATTATTGTGAATCTTAATAATTAGAATATGTATGAACAATATCTGATATTCTAACAATTCAAAAAAAAAATTGATAGAGTACCGAAAAAAGACTAGTAGTTGTTGGTAACCATGAAGACAAGACACCAACACATCCAATATTCTTCAAATACTCATAGCCCATATGCAATGCCATGCTACCTCCTCTTGAAAATCCCACTGCAAACATAAGTGCATGAAGATATTTTGGTAAATTTTTTTCTGAATATCTATTAAACTATAATAATAATAATAATACAATAGGTTACACACAAAAAACAACAGATTTATAAAAGATAATAAAAATCATATTTTTAAATTTTATTTTACAAAAATAACTTAAGCGGAGCTGAAACATAGGAATTACTTGGTTGCAGCCTCTGCAGAAGGCGTTATTTCAGAGGCTTAAGCATTTAAGATCGATTACTTAGATAATAAGTTCGACGCGCTTTAACGAGAACGTCTAGCAATTGTTTGAGTAGTTGATGTTTTCATCTCAACGTGTTTAAAAGGAACATTACCCTTCGTACTAATCATAAGATTTTATTGTCGACGGGTGGATTCAAATAATCTTTAGCTAGAGTTGGGCGTTGAAGTGAAAAATTACGAACATATAACTTCTAAATTCTCCATTATAAAGGCTCTTAAAATGTGTCACAGATTGGATGTCCTGGGCTCCTACAGGAATGCTGCTGGGGATGTCGTCTCCAACGACGAAGAGGACTAAAATCCTGCAAATAAACCCTACATCCGGATTTTAGGAAAATGGATACTATTGTAAACTAACACTCTCGACAGATGATTTGGATACCGCGTACGGAGGGCATATCACCAACAAGAAATAAAAAATTAGGTTTGTTACAATATTGTGACTGTATGGACCGTTCTCTGATGTCACCGGTACCAAGGCGGATAAGACATATGTTATGTGAAAAATAAAACCGTTGTAGACCTGACTTATACGAAACAGAGCGTATAGGCGCCGATAGAAACCACATTTTGTGTTCAAACATTTTGGAGACCATTAGAGACCCTGAGAGGCAAAAATATTTAGTAAAAGCTTATCACGAAGAGAAGACCAACTATTCAGAGTCCCCGAAATCCTTGTTGCTTTAGGCCGTAGACATTTCTGATACAGCATGCGCCGATCGAATTACAAGATCCTTCAATTATATATGGTGACCCATTGTAATAAATATGACAGATATCTCATTACTGTCCACCCAGAAGTGCCCATACTCCTAAATCTCGGTTGGACGTTCAGGTCGATATCTTTACTTGGGAGAAGTAGCAACTTCAGCGAATTAGTCATGGCATATCCGTTACCTAATGAAATGGAAAGAGTCTGTCTGGGATGGTCTGTTCAGCTGGATGTCACGCTGAGTATCTCACAGTTTTACGTCACACGGTGAGAGAGAATTTTGGTACACCCCGTGTAATACACAAGGAAACAAGGCTATCAAACGTCTCCACAGCACCTTAAGGGAACATCACGGTTGTTCCAATTTCATCGAAAACTAATGCCTCAAGCGATACTGCCATAGAACACCATCAATTCCGCTACATGTTTTACACGGATGATAGTAGTATTAGGCTAAGGGACAGAGTGGCCGAGCGAGCTAACGTGAGTGAATAGCACTGTGCGTTCCTCGGCAACCTGATAACCGAGGCTAGAGATAGAAAAAATAATTACTTACTTACTCCTCGGCGCTATAGTCCGCGTGGGACCTTGGCTTTATCAACAATACGTCGCAACTCATCTGCGTCCAATGCGACAGCCCTCCACCGCCTGACACCAAGCTATCTCAAATCCATCCACCAAGCCTCAACATCCTCCAGCCAACGGAGTAGTGGCTTTCCTCTCCTTCTTGCTCCGCCAGGTCGCCCATATAATATTTTTTTCGGTACTAGGTGCGCTGCCATCTTTTCCACATGTCCTAACCATCTTATTCGTCCTGCCTTAATGACACTTACGAGATCTGCGTCCCTGTAGAGTTGTCGCAACTCCCGATTGTATCGGGACCACCAAACGCCTTCTTTGCATACATGCCCGTAAATCCTCCTAAGAATCTTACGCTCCCACACTCCATGAGCCCTCTCATGTTTTGCTGAGATAACCCACGTCTCGCTTCCGTATATGACCACTGGACGAATCATTGTTTTATAGATTGTCAATCTGGCATTCTTTGATAGTCTTCGAAACCTGAGTAGTCGCTGTATGACATAAAAACATCGGCTTCCCGCAGCAATCTTGACTCCTATCTCAGCTCCTACTTCATTTTCTGCCGTCATAAGGGATCCCAGGTACTTAAACTCTCTGCATACTGGAAACTCGTGTTGGCCTATGTTTAGTGTTCGATCTTGATGAGGGCGATGTTTTGAACTCTTCATGTATATTGTTTTTTGCTCGTTTATTTGTAGACCTCGAACCGCTGCAGCGGTCTCAAATTCCTTCAATGCACCCGCCAGCGCTGGAAGCGTCCTTGCCACAATCTCTACATCATCTGCATACGCCATGTGTTGTGTGGATTGGTTCTTATGGCCCTTCTCCAAGGTCATGTTAAAAAGGGGAGTAGTCTTGGCGTCTTCTTGCATTATTCCCGAAACCACAGAGAACTCCTCAGACAGCAATCCTTGTAGTTTCACTCTGCATCTGGTATCTGCCATAGTCATTTTTGCTAAGCGAGTGAACTTCTTAGACACACCCAAAGAGAGAAGATCCCGCATTAAAACCTGCCTATTCACTGAGTCGCATGAATGCTGAAAATCAATGTAGAGGTGATGCAGGTCGAGGTTGTATTCCAGTGACTCTTATAGCATCTGTCGGGTGGTAAAGATCTGATCAATAGTCGATCTACCCTTCCTGAAGCCACACTGGTATTCGCCTACTTCGTTCTCCATGTGTGATATCAGTCTCCTGCCAATGGCGGAGGATAGTATATAGGATAGGGGAAACGGTCCGTGGCATACACAGCAGGTGCCTCTCAGAGAAGGAAACAAGGTATATCGCGTTAAAGCGGGAACAGCTGGAGATTGTGTGGTTGTGGACCATTTTAGACCATATTTATTATGAAGGAGATTTAAAGTGCACACGGAACCATAGACCATTACGATGGCTAAGAAGACTGAAGGAGTCTTCAGTGAGAATAACCAGATGGAATGAGCTCCTAAGTCAGTATAATATAGAGGTAATATACAAACCGAGAAAAGAGAATGTCGTAGCAGAGTGGCTGTCCCGGGCAATGACAACCAACGCGATTGTGAAGGATAGAGGGGAGCTGTTTGGAAACGCCCGATGATTCTTGCGGGAGTGGACATCGCAACGAGAAGGAGAACACACTTCGTTATGGGAAAAAGGTGAAGATAAGTCGACAAGTGAAGAGAGCTCGACGGAAGAGATATTCATTGAAATGGAAGAAAGGGTGATTGAAATGTAATGATCAACGATAAGCACCGTCACATTATCTGGAAAACAAAGACTTTGGGGGTAATGAAGATAGAATCCACAACGCTTGCGTAAAGTGTAAAATCACAACCATATGGTCGGAACCGTTAGTCAGGGATGACCAGATTCGTGAGGCACTAAAAAAATTATCTTGGGCGAGAAAAATCCATTATTTATATGTGGGAAACGTAAAGATTCGGTAAAAGATAAAGAAGCTGCGGAGAACCGAACATATTGGAATAGACAGAACGTTTCTTTGGAGCAACCATATAGTAGAAAGGTATATCACCAAGGAAAAACGAACCACCGTAGAGAGCATGATGCACTACAAGCGCAAAAGCGAAAATACTTCTGGTGAGGGATGAAGAAGACAAAGAGGTTATTGGGGCGTACGAAATTTACCATGCTACTAAATACGATCAACATCCGCAGGAGGAGACGTCTACAAGAAGGAATTTTTTTTTTTTTTTGTTGTTGTTTTCTTTTTGTCGATTTCTTTCCGTTTTTTATACATAATGCAAAGCTGTAAATTCTGGTTATTGCTCTCTATTTGAGAGTTCCGTAAACTAGCAGGTGGAGTTAAGGACCGGAGTAACAGCTGTTACGTAAAATAATCTGTTAGATGTATATACGATTATATTGAGGAGCAAGGAGAACGATATATCATTCTTTATAATACAGTCTTTCGTGTTATTTCAGCTCTC